GTTTGTGAATTTAATTGTTTTTGATGTTTTGGATAAAGCCATTATGTAAATGTTGTATTCCATATCAAATCAACTGAAGATTCAACCCGACCCTCTTCGATTTTTTTTTAAATTTGCATGATGGTAGTATATACACTAACTAGCATATAAAATTTTAATTCTCTACTCAGCTTACTTCATGAGATATGGCCATCTTTAGAAACGCGAAAAGTTCAAAGTACACCATATTTAATTTTAAATATCTTAAAAAGTAATTAAGCTAAAGGTATAATTTAAACTTTATTAAATAACTCTAGAATAGCCCTTTAATATGATATAAAATTTATTATATTAAAAATAATTTTATTACCAAAAACCGGAAATGGTTATAAAAAAAGAATTGCCTTTTTTCTTTCAAATTTTTTTAACAAATAGACATTATATATCTTAATATTTGTAAAAAATCCTAGATTGGGACCATTACTGGGCCAATAGTTATTACGCTTTAAATATAAATAGCATAGCTTAATACGAAATGAGTAATTATTTTTTTAACAAAAGTGATAATATTTATGAATAATAGTATTAAAACTGAAATCCGAACCCCATCTTAAGATTTATATTCGCCCCCCCCCCACAAAAAAAAATTTCTTCTTAAATTCGAGATTTTTAACCTGGCAATTCTATGAGTGAATTATGTAGATTATTTTCTTTGCCGGATAAAAAATTATCTTTGTGATCGTCAGAAATATATTTTCATAAAGATTATTTTCTACTTATAATTAATTATCAAATCAAATAATTATCATAAAAATCAAATTCAATTCCAACAGCAACAGCAACAGCCGTCATTTTTATTGATTAATTTTATAAAGCCATTTTTCTAAGAAAATTAAATTATCGGTATTCATATTCCAATTTATTTTTAATAAAAAAATTATATAAAATTAATAGCTATCTTTTATTCCTTACCAAAAAAATTTAAATGTCTAGAAAAGTTATTTCTATTCCAGTAAAGAGCTGTAATCCCTTTAGAATAAAATCTCATTCAGTACGTTACGATCTAAGAAATGTTTTACAATGGATGATAGAAGTGAATTCTAGCTTAACAATTAATCAAAAAATTTGTAGCTCTTGCCGAAAAAAATTAAAAAAATATTCAACAAATCTGATCTCACCTTTTACTTCTACGATCCCGATCACATTACCTTCTATTTCTAACTTACCTTCTACCTCAACTATTAATGAAACATTTAGCTATTCAGAACCTGATCAACCATGCAATAATCCCGACTCTTATACAGATTTTAATACTTCAATTTCAACTTTAAATGAAACTTTGCCATTTTTAGGGGAGACACCTATTAAAAAGAAAAGGTTAAATGTAAAAAAATATCCTGTAAATAAATTTTTGAAAATTCAGGGAAAAATTAAAAAAGTTTTTAAAATAAATCTAGAGGATCAAGCAAAAAAAGATGAAGCCGAAATCATAAATCAACTGAAAGAAAAATTTGCTACAAGTTCTCGCAATGAAAAAATACAAATTTTAACAGTTTTACCAAAATCTTGAACTCTTGATAAAATTGAAAAGGAATTTTCAACCACAAATTTTATGGCCCGGACAGCTAAACAATTAGTTGAAGAAAAGGGTGTTTTGTCAAACCCAAATATCATAAAACCAAGTAGAATGATTCCGGATGATATTGCAAATAAAGTAATAGAATTTTATAATTCTGACGAAAACAGCAGACTTATGCCAGGTATGAATAATTTTATATCAATGAAAGTTAATGGGAAAAGGAACCAAGCCATTTGATATTCATGTAATATAAATAATTAGCTAAATAAAGTTATAAATATTTTTACAATTATTTTCTCTCTAAAATAAAATCGCTAAACTTATATGTTAAATATGACATAATGTCTACTAGTGGGCTCACATCCCGAAACATTTATAAAAAAAATATAATCGGCCCGATCATAAAGGAATTTTCTTTTTATTTTTTTCGTAAATTACTATATATTTGGTATAATTTAGGATTTAAGCCATACTATTTATATTTAAAGCGTAATAACTATTGGCCCAGTAATGGTCCCAATCTAAAATTTTGTACAAATATTAAGAAGTATGTCTATTTGTAAAAAAAAAATTTATTTTATAGCTATTTCCGGTTTTTGGTAATAGACTTTTTATTAATAAAATAATTTTATATCATATTAAAGGGCTATTTAATAAAATTTAAATCATGCCTTCAGCTTAATTACTTTTTGAGATATTCAAAATTAATATATGACTTATGGAAAGATATACAGAAACTATTACGTCGGGATAGACGTATATATATTGCGAGGAAAGCCTTTGACATTGATAGGGATATGAAGGAAAACAGGATTTATGACGCATATAAAAAATTAAAATATTTTTGTAAACCTAGTAGCTTTAAGAAACTTCCCGCCATTGTATTAAGGAATGGGAAAGTGATCATTGATCAAGATGAACAAATAGCTGTATGGCTTGATTATTACATGACAATCTTTGACTCAAGGAAAGCAACTCCACCAGCTAGCTTAAATATAATTTCGGTCTCACCCCCTTCTGGCTTTTCTATTGATGAGATTACTAACATAATAAAAAAATTACGCAGAAACAAAGCTCCGGGGCCTGATGACATAACGGTTGAGTATCTGAAAATTGCACCTAGGACTGTCTCTTCTTTCCTTTTGACCCTTTTTAACAAAATATGGGAATGTGGGAAAACTCCGGTGGAATGGAATGAATCATTTTTATGTAATTTCCCCAAAATTGAGAATCCACGGAATTTCACAGATTATCGTGCCGTCGCTCTGACATCATGTGTATCTAAAATATTTATGACGTTATTAAAAAATAAAATTGTGAAATTGAAGCCCCATCTTTTCCCCAAATACATTTGTGCTTATAGGCCGAATAAAAACATACTAGAACCAATATTAGCCTTGAAAATAATAATGCAGAAATGTTATAAATACAAAATATCATCCTATTATACTTTCATCGACTTTAGTAGAGCTTTCGATAATGTTAATCACGGAGCTCTTTGGGAAACGCTAGCTGAATGTGGAATAGAACCTCAAATAATTCTCATCTTAAAAAACCACTACTCTAAATTAGCAGCGTGTTTTAGAATAAACGATAAAATATCTCCCTGCTTTAGAATTAAAAAAGGAGTAAAACAGGGGTGTACTCTATCACCACTACTATTTAACATGATAATAAATAAAGTTATAAGAGAAGCACTAGGGGCAGCTGATCTTGTTGATCTAAGTTCCGATAAGTCCATATCTTTTGTTAACAGAATAATATCTTATGCTGATGACATTGTTGTAATCTCCAAGAGCATTGATGAAATCAAAAACTTATTATACTTACTAGAGACCCTAAGTCAAAGAGTTGGACTTGAAATAAATTTCAAAAAAACTGTTATTCTCCCCTCCCCAAATGCTCCACCAATGGACAATCTTACTTTTGGAGGAAAAATAATTAAGGTTGTAGATAAAATTAGATATTTGGGTATAACACTAGACAATAAAGGTAGTGGTAAAGAGGAATTGTCTATAAGAATACAAAAGGCGAAGGGAACCTTCTACAAGTATATGAAAATTTGGAAAACAAAAGAGATCTCTGTTTTTACCAGACTGAAGTTATTCAACTCGACAATTGTTCCGATTCTATTATATGGTGGGGAAATTTGGGAAGCAAATAAGACGGAAATGAGACGATTACAATCATTTATAAATAATTGTCTACGTATAATTAATGGCATTTTCTATCCAAGAGTCATATCAAACCAAAATCTCTGGAAAAAATCTAATCATACGCCAATTAATATCACTGTAAAAAAACACCGTATACAGTTCCTAGCTCATATAATAAGGAACTCTGACCACAATTTGGCTCATGACGCGATAGCATGGATGTACACACATAAAGGAAAACAATACACAAAATATAAATCCTTATGGTACTATAAAACCATAAAGGATATAATGGATTTAAATATTAATATGAAACAATTCATAAAACTTAATAAAAATAAGAGTTCCATCAAAAAACTTTTCCGCATTAAAAAAAGTTACCTCAAATGAAACCGTATTTTGAAGTTCTTTGCGCATATATCATTATCTAAAGGTTCCCAATCAACAATTATTCAACTTTTTGGAAGTATTCTATAATTTTCTTACCAAAACTTGTATTAAATTTGTAAAATTATTAAATTAAAAATGATCCACCGCCCAGCCCACCCTTAAAGTGATTAAATTATTTTGTAGGTTTTGGGTATAGGCTTTTTCTTTGTCCCAATCCTTTTAAATTAAAGCCTATAGAGGTTTAAGCAACATTTTTCGAAATGGTGTGCCTACAAGTACGTGCGGCTTGCCCACAAACGTGTGGAGGGCTCCTCATATTTTTACTTTTATACCCGAATTAAATTGTTCCAATTAGATGGAAATGAGGAAAACCTAGCGTAGCTCTGTTGAATCTTCAACGCTAGAGGGCAAAAGCGCTATATATCACGTAAATATACTGTATTTTGGAATTTTCGCGTTTCTAAAGATGGCCATATCTCATGAAGTAAGCCGATTTGAAAAGTAAAATTTTACATTTTTATTAGTTAGTGTATATACTACCAACATACAAATTTTTAAAAAAATCGAAGGGGGTCGGGTTGAGAATCGACTTTTTTTGGTTGATTTAATATGGAATACAACAAATATTTTTTTAATTTTTAGGCATTCTCTTTCAAGATTGAAATAAAAAATTATTTGTAAAAAATAATCTGATATTTTTCAAAAGGACTAAAACAAATAATCTTTTAGAAAATGAATAAATTTATTTTTAGTCAAACTCATAAATATTTTATTTCTTTCAGATAAACATAAAATACTAAATAAATAAATAAATTAGATAATCATAAATAAAACGTTTTTTAAAATAATATATTTTTTTAATATTATTTATTTGTCTCAGTTTTAATAAATAAAAAATTTTTTTTTTTCAAAAAACAGACATTTTCTCCCTTATATTTTACTAGTTATTAAGCAGAATATTCTAGCGCAGTTGTGGATGTGATTGTATTATCTATTATAAATTATTCTTTTGAAAGTATAAAAGTAAGTGTAATATTATTATAAATAATGACTTTTCTAATAAAATAATATCAATTTAAACGCGAAAAGTGGGAAATATAAATAGAAAACATATCTTTGTTCCTAAAGCCAGAAATAAACTTTTTTTTAAAAATACCAAAAGCTGGAACATTTTATAAACAAACTAATAGAAGCCGATTTTTCCAAAGAATATTATCCAAGCCTGAAGATTTTGGTCATAGATGGCACAAAGATAACTAAATCCCATGGTTTAGGCATTATTTTTCTGATTAAAAAATTGAGTTAGCCATTTTTAAAAATCGACTCAAATCGAGCCGTTTAACAATAATACAAATCACACTGAATGTTAGTTGTACCGTATAAAAAAAATTTAGAGAAGAATTTTAATTTGTAAATAATTTTTAAGATATTGATTAATTATTATGAGTATAGGTATTATTCTATTTTGACTTCACGTGTATATTTTAAATGATTTATCATTATATGTCATCATATAAAATTAGGGCTGTGCCTATCCCTATATTTTTCATCGATTCGAACCGATATTACTAAAAAAATCTATCCGATATTTATATTAATTTTAATTTACCATCTATCTTAGAACCAATATTTTTAAAAAAAACCAATTAACTTTCATGAATGATTAAGTGTATTTTATTTATTTTATTCTTCAAAAATTAATCTCATTTAAAATATTTGCATGTTTATGAGGTTAATGTAGTGATGTTAAACAACTACATTTAGCCAATTTAAAAAGGGCAAAGTCAAGATTTTCGGAAAATATTACCTAAATCTCGAAATTTATATACGTCCAAACCTTTCTACCATCTGTGGGCAAAATCATAAGCTTGAGTAGTGTTGTTAAACGGCTCGATTTGAGCCGATTTTTAAACTGCTAACTCAATATTTTCGCCAGAAAAATATAGCCCAAGTTTCGAGATCTTGTTAATAGAGGTTCATACCTTTGTGCCATCTTTAAACAGATCTTAAGGCTTACGTTATATTTTTCTAGATAATATTTTGAGTTGGCCGTTTGAAAAAATCGGATCAAAATGAGCCGTTTAAAAAACTAGCTCAATGTGACTTATTAGATATTTTAAATTCCTTTTCTTGTTGCAGATAATATAATAAAAAATATTGTAACATTTTTAACTATTAAACATTTAACAAATAAATTGTATTTTAGTTCCGTTCATTAATTTATTATTATGAAATTATTTATAAAATAAAAATAAATTATATGATTATATATACTATCATAAAATAATCAAAATAAAAATATCGGCCCGATCCGATATTTAAAAACGCTAAATGTTGGTGCTGAGGTATTCAAATCGAAACAGCCCTAGATAAAATCAATGTTTTTTTTTAAATTATGTATTTTTTTACGATACACATAAATTTTACAAAGTAATATTTATATAAATTGTAATATAATTATATTGATATTTTTCATTAACTTTAAAAATAAATAATTCCTAGAACTTAAAAAAAATAATATACCTCGAATATTTAAGACGTTTTTAATATCCTGAAGTTATAAAAAACAAAAAAAATTACATTAAACAAACTGCTTTAACTCAAATTTTTTAAAAGCTAGAAACCTCCAAGGGTGTGCCTCCTTGTCAGCGTGCCGAGGCTTTTAGCGGCCCAGGGCAAAAAATAATTTGGAGGCCTTTTAAGAAAGACAATTTATTTAAGCTTACTTGATATATTTTCGCAATGAGAACTAAACATATATACCTTATTAAATTTTAATATTCTTTCAGGCGCATTTATTAATTCTATTGAATAAAAATCCAAAATATTTTTAAATAGCTTTAACTGCTAGAAACGTTCCCCCAACAAATTTCTCGCTTGATGTAATAATTTTTTAATTCAATTAATCATGTAAAGGTGTGTCGTCTCTTTCGTAAAAAAATTGTTTTCGAACTTTCCATTCATGAATTAATGTTATTGAAGGAAAACACTGCTCTTCTATACTCATTTCCAATTATCTAAAAACGTACTTTTTATAAATATAACGTCTCTTTCAAATTGCGCATGATGAGAAAGGGAAATATCTCTGTGGGATCATCATAATGAGGGTGAGAAATATGTGAACCAGTGACTTCCGTGGGATCGTCATGATGAGAAAGAAGAATATGTTAATCAGCTATATCTGTGGGATTTTCATGATTGGCATAAGAATTTCATTGTACTCATCGAATTTCTATTCACTTATGGCGCGTGATGTCTCATTTTTATTTTTTAAAATAGCCCTTTTTTGAGAATTAATAAATGAGCCTCTTTCTTTTTCGTTTCTCAGCACTATTTTGAAAATTCTTTGGTTTTCAAATAAAATATTATATGGCGTCTCCTAACAATTCAACTCATTAAACAGTGTTTTTATAATATTCATTTGTCATTTTATAAGGGTCTGAAACTAGCATGTTATATAGTATATATTAAATTAAACATTGAATCTATCTTAATTAAAATAAAAACTCAATCTAGATTAGAGTAATTTAAAGTGTGTCCACTCGAAAGGTCTATGTATTAAATGAAGACTATGGTGTGAACTTTTTTATTCTAAAATATATCCAAAAATAGCCTCATAGCAATTACAACAAAAGCAGAATATTTGCCACAAATATTTATCAAAATAATCAAATAGAAGTCGTTTTTTTTAAATAAATTTATTTATTTTTTGTTAATAGAAAATTTAATTAAATTGTTTTTAAAGTTTATTTATAATAGAAATAAATGAATATAAATCAAATCTTTTGTTATAATATTTATACGTACTTGGCAGTTGGCACTTAGGACATACCAACCTGATTTGAAAATTAGCAAATATGGATTTTTACAAAAAAATAAATAATGCTTTGTATATAGTGTATATGCTGTGACAATTTGTTATTTTTTCAACTTTAAATAATTTTTTGAGCACGTTAAAAAATTTGATTTTTCCGGAAATGTATTCCAGCATGTTTAGAATACCTATCTTATGAATTGTAGATGACGTTGCCCTTAACTTTTGATTCATTTATAATTTATATGGAAAAACTAATACAAATTATATTAAGTTCAAAAGTTCATGGCAAAATTATGTGAAATTCATAGGGTAGGTATTCCAAATATGGAATACTTTTCCAGTATTTTTAAATTTTAAAAATCGTGCTCAAAAATTGATTAAAGTTGAAAAAAAAATAATAACACATTGCTGCTATCATATACAAAAAAATTATTATTCTTTACAAAATTTGATGGCCCCTAAAATTGTCAAATTTCGACAGCCCAGTGAGGCTGTCCAGCTCCCCCCGTCTGCACGGCCCTGCTTGTCAAGCAAGGTGGAGGGGAAAAACTCTTTTGAAAATTTAATACATCTTTATTTTTAAATTATACTATATTTTTTATTAGGTCCAACAAATTCCTTTACCGTGTTTGACTATCGTTATGTCTCATTCACTTTCGCCCCATGATCTCATCCTTCAATATATCAAGGACAATAGAGTTATGATTTTTAGCAAATCATATTGCCCTTATTGTAAAACAGTATATTTATTATATATATATACACACACCTACAAATCAGATACATGTCACTTATTTTTGCCAATATTGATACTACTAGTGTCAGGCCGATATCACCAAAAATTTACACAAACCATATTTTATTCATACCTCTCGTACCAGCTGGACTAAATTACAGTGTTAAAAGCTACTTTTAAAAGTAGCGCGCAAGCACTACTGTTGTCAAAAAAGTAACGTGCTCGCTACTTTAGAATTTTTTAAAATATTTTTTACTTATCTTTATTTCCACAAATAAAAAATGACTAAAATTTAGATATATATAATTTATTTTTTTTATTGCATTACTGTTATCCCAAAGTCTAGAGCAACGAAGTATGACTAATTAATCGTTCAACACTAGCACGCATTGCAGTATTAAATTTGAGAAAAATATTCATTTGAGTATTTTTAGTTATAAAAAATGCGTCTAAATCATTTTCAATAGTATTATTAATTATTTCAAAAATCATCGTATATAAATAGGTGACCTTTTTGATCTGGCTAGGGTCAGTCTAAAATTTTAATAGTAATAGCTAGAATAAAAATTAATGTAGGGGAGAAGTGGATGGCCATGTTTGCCAACTGGTCAAGCAACTTAATTTTTTTATCTATTATTGAAACAATTTCTCTCAAATGTGAAAGGACTGAAATAATTATTTTTTAGCATGTTTTTATAATATTTATAAATAGATGAGTGGTAATTTTAAGAATGTTTAGCATCCAGATAATAATTTATAAAATATTATTAGATTATATAACCTTTTAATTATAATTCTTGAAAATCTTATGGCCAGTCAAACATACCATGTTTGTACTGGGCTAGACGATCAACTTCATAAACTCAGCTAGCTCAAAAACTATTATAGATACAGCTTCAGCTTTGATTCATATTTTATATCAAAGATTAAGGATTGGGCTACACATTCTAATTCACTAAAATTAAAATCGTTAAAAGTTGGGAATCTCGCTTATATCTTCTAGAAATATTTAAAAGTAATATTAAAAATAATATTAATAGATGCTAGGAAGAACACCAGTCTTTTAAACGAGTTTTTAAAAAATGCTATGAAATATTATCATTTTTACCAGAATTGGGAACAACATTTGGTAATTTTGATGATTTCCTCATTTTTAGCGAATATTTAAAAAACCTAATTTAAATACAAGTGTTTACTCTAGCATCTATTAATATTTATTTCAAATTTAGAAAATTTTTCCAGGAGATATAAGCTAGATTCCCAATTTTTTTGCTTTTAGCGATTTAATGGGAACCAAATTTGTTTGATATATTACTTTTAAATGTTTCCTCGTTAAAGCTGCAAGTTTAGTAGCCAGCTAACGCCATCGCTATTTTTTTTAAAGTTACGCACACATTGCTAAATTAGTTACGAAATGTTATTGAGCGTAAGTGTCCAAGTTGCATAAATAAAATTAGTAACTAATTTTCGTGTGCTGAATTTCGGAATCATATGTTATTGTATAATATTTTAAATAAATACATGAGTTATGGGAATCTTGTTTTAAATGCTTGGACATAAGGATAAATTAGTTCACTAAATTCTTAACTAATTTAGTCAAACTAGGACGAAGTATTAAATTCATCTATTTTTTTGAAATGTATTTATTACCTCGTATTAGATCGACTATAGTCACGAATAGTGTTAAACGGCTCGATATGAGCCGATTTTTAAAAATGGCTAGCTCAAAACTTTAGCCAGAAAAATATTGTCTAAGCCTCGAGATTTTGTTTATATATGCTTTCTATGAGCAAAATCGTAAGTCTTGCATAATACATTTCTGGATAAAATTTTGAGTTAGCCTTTTTTTAAAATAGGCTCAGAATGTGCGGTGTAACAACACAAAATAATTTTATCGAACATAAAAATTCATAATTAGTTTGGTATGCAGGAACGAACGAACACTAAATTCATAGCTAATTTAGTCGAGCTAGGAAGAGGTATATACATAAAATAATTATTGTCCAACTCAAGGAAATTATTTTTGATCGCATATCAGATATGACAAGTTATTAATAAAAATTTAAATTTTGTTAAAACCCATTTTTAATATATTTTAATAAACCTAATCTATTCTCTCAAACCTTTAATTTACCCATATCTTTCTCGCCTTTAATCTTACTTACTTGCTTAACTTAAATATATTTCATCCACTTAAAAAATGTTAACAATTTCAAATCAACGAATAATATAAATATTTAATTTAAAAATAATATACTTTTTGTACTAACTTTTTGTTTTTATTGTATATAAGTCATTCCACGATAAATCAACCAGAAAAACGAGATTTTCGGACACCATCTTTAAAATGAACGAATACGCTTTCAAGGTCCAAAAACGCGCAATGCGTGATTTCATTAAATCTTGTTTTTCTAAAAATACGATAGAGTTACAAATTATATATCATTTTGTAGCCCTTAAAATTTTACATTGGAAAATATCGAAGAAAATTAAAGATTTCCAAGTTTTATTATTTCCGGTAAGGAATTTTTTGGGTGTTGATATTCTCTAAAAATGTTTATTACCTTTGTATTAAACTATTTAATAAAAAATCTCGATAGTCATTTTTGTTTTTTTAAATTTTATTTTAATTTTTATTATTTATATAAATTAAAAAAGATAATATAGATGGCGTTGCCTTCAAAAATCATTATAATATAATATTTTTAATAAAAATATGAATTATATCGCGATTAAAATAAAAAAATCCACTGAATATAACCTATATGATGTCATGGGGCGATATGTAAGCAGGCAGTCCATCAGATATGATTATTATAAGGACGCTATATTTTAAAATTTATATACAATCTATCATAAAAACATCTCTTTTTTTTATCATATTCCATTTTGCACTTATTTAATAGAAATTCCTGAGTACATCAGATATATCTTGTCACAGTAGTGGATCTACTACCGTTATTATTTGATGTCGCTTGTGGGGTAAAAGAAAGATTTGGTGGTCCATTACCGTGGAAAAGGTCCATGCGGTGGCTTTGGAGGAACATTAAAAAGAGTAGCAGCACGTTTAAGCCTTCATCGCATCAGTTCTAGACACATTTTAACACCAGTTGGTTTATATCAGTTTGCAAAACAAAACATGCCATCTGTAAATTTTGCATATACATCCAACGAACAATACAATTTAGAAGAGGTTTAACTTCGAGAAAGATTCAATTTAGCTCGCCCCATTCCAGGAACTCGGGAAATACATTCTGTATTTCCTTTTATTTAAGCAAACTTAAATAAAAAATATATTCATATGTAGAGGACTTTAAAATTAACAATATCTTAAATGCCGATAATTTGTCCTTTATCGATATCAAAGGATTCGTGACAGATGTTTACGACAATTTTTAGTGGTTAGTCACAATACTAAAAAGAATGAAATTACTGAGGAGATATATATATTTCCTTTTTGCATCCCCATGGGTAGTGTTGTTAAACGGCTCGGGTTGAGCCGATTTTTAAAAACGACTAACTCAATATTTTAGCCAAAAAAATATTGCCTAAACCTCGAGATTTCGCTAATAGATGTCCAAATCTTAGTTCCTTCTACAGACAAAATCTTCAGGCTTGCGTAATATTATTTTAGATGAAATATTGAGTTAGCCGTTTTTAAAAATCGGGTCAAAACAAGTCGTTTAACAACACTACCCATGGGTATCACTTTCCTTCTTTTACCCACAATTGAGGAAAAGATATGGTTTCCCATTAATCAAATAATAACGATAGTAGATACTAGAGGTGGGCGCGGGCCGTGAAATTACGCGTGACCCATCGTGTCACGGCGTGAGTGAATAAATTTTAAATTCCAAGGCGTGACGGGCCTTCCCGAAATTTTCCCCGGGCGTGATCGGGCGTGAACATAAATTTCCCGTGAATCACGGAAATGTTAATTTTTAAAATTGTTTTTTTTATAAATATAAATTTGCAATTTTATAATTATATTTTATATTTTCCTATTTAATTTAGTTCTTTTTAAAAAAAGAATAATTTATGAAAACTAAAAATCTTCCGCATTTTATAAACAACATCCGGTATCATTTCGTTAGTTCTATTTTCTTTTTATGTTTAGGTGTTTTTTACCGCGAGACTTAGTGCTAAATTTTGCTTAAACATTTTACAGAAAAGTCAGTTATATTTTATTTGTAAAGATCTTCAATCTTTAAATGCAACAGAAAGTGAAGGATTTTACAAGCTAGGCCAAGAGATTTGGTGTTACATATGGATAACAAAATATAAAAGTTGTTGACCGAAAAACTCTCATGAATACTATAGGTCCAAAAATATACAATGAAATAAAATTTAAGATTAACAGCATGATCTATAACAATTACTTATCCATAATCACTAATATTTGGACGGATGACTATAAAAATCTAAGTTTTTTAACCATTACAGGACATATTTTCATTAAGGATTTTAAATTAAAAACATTTGTTTTGGCCACAAGGGCAATGGATGAAAAAAACGTCAAAATTAAAAGTGTAGTCAATTCAATTTTAGGAGAATATACAGAAGTAGAAAATTACTTAAATAAATGTATAGTTGTGGTGAGTGATAACGGAGCAAATCTTATAAGTGCATTCAAAGATGACGAAACGCTAGCATGTATATGCCATATACTAAATAATATTATGCATTATATTTTTGACAATTGTTTAATTGAAATAGCCTTAAAAATAAATGGTGTAAAAAAATATTACAATATTTCAAACAATCTACAGCTAATAGCAAACTAAACCACACCCCTAAACAAGATGTAATAGCGAGAATAACGAGATGGAACTCTGTATATATCATGATATAGAGTTTCTTAAAATCATATTCTGAAATACAGGTGTACATGTTTAGCAAGCAAGAATTAAATAGATTAGCCACAATTGATATCAGTATCATACGCGAGTTAGATAAATTTTTATCAATATTTAAGAATGCTCGGATAATCTGAGAGCAGATTCTCTTCCCGCAATTAATGAAGTTTGTCTATGGAAACAAAAATTAATAATATTTTTTTAACCTTCTGAACGTGATACAATAATAATCAAAACCTTAAAATACAGAACAAGATTTCTTTTAAAAGATTATTATGCAGCCACTACATAAGGTAGGCTTAATTCTAGATCCGAATTTAAAGAAGAAAATGATATATATAAAACAATCTTAAAAATGCTAAATGATATAAAATTAGATGATATGCATAAGTCAATGCCAACTATCATTTATAACTTTCCTAACTTATCCTAAACTCATAAAAGACCGTATATTCTAAATGGTCAATACCAACTATCACTTTCCTAATTCATCCTACACTCATAAAAGACCGTATATTCTAAATAAAAAATTTAGAGAATTTCTAAATGATTCTGATGAAGCATCAACTTCACCGATGAAGGCTGTGAGGATGAACTTAAAAGATTCATATAAGATAAATAACAAAACAATATTTGAAGTTTTGGAAGCAGGAATATTCATTTCCTTTTTTGAGTAAATTATATAGTAAAATTTTGTCAGCTGCAAGTTCGGCTTCTAGTGAAAGGTTATTTTCTGTAGCCAATCTCTTATTAGAGGAAAGGCGTACACAATTGAAATAAAAAAAGATGGACATTCTTCTTTTTCCAGATAAATTTCGATTTATAGATTATCTTTACTTTTTGTTATTAATATGGATTATGAAATTAGAGAAATAAATAGAATGAATTCAAAAAAGTGTAAAATTATAGCAATCGTTTTGAAAAATTTAAAAACACCGTGAATTTTCGGGAGTAACTGGCGTGAATCAAAATATTGATTGTCATGAGCGGGCGGGTCGAGTCGAAAATTTTTTAGTGGTAAGCGTGAATATTTTTTATTGCCACCGTGAGCGGGCGGGCCGTGAACGAAAAATTAGGCCCGCGCCCACCTCTAGTAGATACTATAACAGTCACAGGACGTACCTGCAAATTATCGCCTCCGGAAAGTCTATTAATTGGCACTAAGTGGAATAAGATTAAAACAAGAGATTTTTTTTATAATAGTTTGTATATAAAATTTTAAAATGTCATCAGATCCGTATGGGCTGCTTGCTTACATATTGCCCCAGGACATCATAGTGGTTATACTTAATTGATTTTTTTAATTAACACAATATATATTAAATATAACGCCATATTATTATCATTTTTTATTTATTACATAGTTTAATATAAAGGTAATAAACATTTTTAAAGAATATTAACACCCAAAAAAAATTTCCTTCTCAACAATGTTTGTAATTTTACCGGAAATAAGAAAACACTTGGATTTTTTTCATCTCCTTTCGATCCTATGTAAAATTTTAAAGGTTGTAAAATGATATATAATTTGTAACTATCTTAAGTATTTTTTATAAAAACTGAAGGCTTATATTTTTGAATCTGGTTGAGCTAACGCTCTAAAATATTAATTTTATTAACATTTACAACATAAATAACTAACATGTGAAGTTTCATTCATTTTTGAGATGGTCGGCCGAATCACGGGTCGATTTGTTATGGAATTACTCATATTGCAAACTAAAAAAAGGAAATGAATTACAAAAACTAAAATTCTTGTAGAAAATATATAAAAAAATATACACAAAAATTTAATATAAAATTATATGAATTGAAATAGTTGGGCAAACTTAAATATTAATAAAAGACCGGTCCGGACCCCGGTCTGGTGCTGAAAATAATTAAAAGACCGATCTGAACCATGTGAAAAAGACCGGCCCATCAATCGATCAGATCTAAGATCGATAGGACGGGACCAACCGTTCTTTACTACTGAAAATTTTTTTATTTGTATTTTGTAAGAATATTTAATAATATCAAGAAAAAATTTTTTTTTACTGTAGGGACCCGACTTATGTAATATGAATTATGATTAATCTTATTAAAAAAATATGTGCTTAAATACTTCTTTGTATTTAAAAAAACATAGGTCAAAGATTATTTCGCCAATAAAAACATACCATTCAAGGCTCTGGAGTTGAATGAAATTGGTATTATATATGACTTTTTTTTAAATTTAGATTTGTAAATCTGGTTAATGTCAATGATCCGGACCGCGTCCCGCTTTGAGTATGAGTATTCAAAATTATTCGTGTTTGACGTTTAAAAAAATCGAATGATTTGCTATCCGTATTTGACATTTAAACAAATCGAATAATTTACTAATCGTATTGGTATATAGATAAGTGGAGAGGGGCTTATTAAATTACCTAATTTCTATGGTTAAAGAGTAAAATAACATGATTTAAATTTGAAACGACGTCTATTCTGACATTATTTGGAGAAAATTAATGGAGTGGATGATTAATTTAATTTGAAATTTTTTATCTATTTTTTGGTGTCTACTGTAAATTGTTCATATTGAAATTCTTTTATATCTTAAATCGTTTTGGATGGCCACAATGTTTTATGCTTTTCCATTAAATAAATAGAGCCAAGTTATGGAATCGTGAACAAAGTTGTGATCAGGATTTCTTATGACTTGGGCTAAGAATTGAATACGCCTTATTTTAAATATGATATGCGTCGGAATTTTTTTTTAATTTTCCATAATTTGTCGTTAGAGATAATTATTGGGTAAAAAATACTGTTTATTATTCGTTGTTTATGAAAGATAGTAATATTCTGTTTTGTTAAATTCCTTTGTGTCTGACATAGTAAAATTGGAAATAAATTAGTATACTTTTCTGTTGGTTAGCGATATTCCTAAGTAGGTAGTAAAAGAAAATGTAAATCATAAAGAATTTGATTCGGATTCAGATAACGTTATAGTTTCAAGTTTTTTATATAATTAGCTTTTGTTTTTTAATAGTTTTTTTTTAGATTTATATTTAGATACACTTAAAATTACATTTAATTAAACTGTGCATATACTTTTTTAACCTCTGGATATTAAATTTGTTCAAATGATAAATGTAAACAATTTTTCTTAGTATAACTTTATTGTGAAGAACATAGAAGTTATAAATAATTTATATTAAATTTCATTCATTTAGGATAAATCTGAATCCAATGGAAATGTTTTAAATCCAGGGCTTATTATTTCTCAAAATTCAAATATCTTCAAAAATCTTTTCTCTTTTGAAGATCAAAAAATGTTAAGATTTTTTTGTAAAAAAATTTCGAGCATGCTCAAAGAATTTTTTACAAAAATCATTTTTCATTTTGCTCAAAAATCTTCTTTGAACGTGCTCAAAATTTTTTTTTACGAAAAGATTTTAATTTTTTTTGATCTTCAAAGATTTTTTGCTCAAAATTTTAGACGAACTACTTTAATTGTTTGTTGGTCGATCATTAATCTTTCAAATCTTGTTGCGTAGAAGAATTACAGTTTTTATTTTATATTTATCAAAGGCCTCTTTTCAAGTCAATAAAATAAAAAAACTAGTAAACATTAGGATACTACTGTAAGAACGGCTTTTAAATATTGTGCCGTTATGTTACCGCGGCCAGGAGTTTTATGTTTCCTTAGCTTTTTATTTTACTACAGTGAAAATCTTGAAGAAATTTGAGACACAAAACCTTCTCCCAATCTTAAAAACCTTAATCATATAGTTGGATTAGATATTAATTTCAACAAAACTGTATTTCTTCCCTCTCCACACGCACCAAGAATTGAACGATTAATGATCGATTAACAAACAATTAAAGTAGTGACAAAAGTCGAATACCTTGGCCTAATTCTAGAAAACATGTAGTTGTAAAGAAGAAATAAAAATTAGAATACTAAACTCAAGAAAAGCTTTCTATAAATATTTTAAGCTATGGAAAACAAGGGAGATTTCCTTATTTACGACATGGATTTTTAATTCCACCATCATTCCAATTTTACTATGTGAATTTAAACAATTCATAAGATTAAAAATTTTTATAAATTAAATCCAAATATTTCAAATGAAATACCATTATTTTTCTAATCTATCTGCACAACAAATGTACTCCACGTGACGACAGCTTTTCAAATTTAAATCAAACTTTATTCTTCAACCATAAAGATTCAGAAAATTAAAATTAACCCCCCCCCCCTCTCCATATAAATTATTTAAAAAATCAGCCATACACGGGATAGACTTTTCTTGGTCCAATCCTTTTATAGTCAGTCTGTCTAAATAATAGCCCTCGGGCTATTATGCTTACAGGTACGTGCTGCCTGCCCACTAACGGGTAAAGGACTCCTCATTTAACATTTGCTCAACTTTTTATATCCATTCTGATGGAAATGAAGATGCCTAGCATTCTCTATCGTATCTATAAACTAGAGGGCATGTACCCTTAAATCACGTATTTGTATAATTACGATAGTAAATTATTCAATCCGGTTAAAAGAATCGAATACGAATAATCCGTTATTCGATTCATTTCTGAATAAGCCTAGTTTTGTTTTGAGTCTCGATTTTATAGTCTTACCGTTATCTTTTTTATACATTTTATTTTAACTGAGCATCTATTTTTTACAAACAATTAAATCTTCAGAATTCTAAAATATTTATATTATTGTGATTTAAATATTTCAGCCTTAATATTAAGATAATTGGTTTATATAATAGATTAAATTAAATGTTTTTATTTGTTATAATGTAAATATATTATTGCAAAATATTTGAAGATATATGGGCTTTAAAAATTAAATTTAAAAAAAAATTGGCTCGGACAGCTGTTTAAAAAAAACTGAACTTCACACTAAAAACTAATACTTATTAACAACAATCTTAACTTCCTCTGAAATATACTTAACTCAATTACTTTAATACTATGGATACTTTAGAATTGAAATTTAAAATACTTTATTTTCTTCAAATACATCATATAAAAAAATAAATAATGAAATATAAATTTTTAAGAATTATTTTCACAAAAATATTAGTAATTCAAAAAAATATAAATTTTTTCAAAAAAAAAATAATAATAAGCAGAAAAAAATATTCAAAAATTTTACAAAAAAATTAATCATCTATTTTATAAAAAAATGTAAAATTCAAAAAAAATTGGGCGTTAAAAATTTTAATAATAAAATTTTCTTTCTTTTAAGCCAATCACAAAATTGTAAAAAGATTGACAATTACATATATAAATATATATAATCATTTGTAAAAATAAGCCCCGCGGTGACACTGTTTGCTCTTTTAAATCTGGACTGTGGTTGGAACCTGAAATGAGATTTATATTCCCGAAATTAATAAATAGATAAAAAAAAATTGAACAATATCAATAAACACTAAAATCCCATAAAATTTGAACAATATGATGTTTATTATCATTTACTTTTAAAATATAAATATAATAAAGCTAATGGTTCCGAAATTCAAAATGATCTGCATAGTTTGACCCGTCAAAGAACTGTCCCCAATGTTTTTATAGGAGGAGTTCATGTGGGAGGCTCCGATTCGGTGATGAAATTGGCCAATGAAGGAAAATTATCTCAACTGTTAGCTCAATCTTCTCAAGGTTTTTTATAAATATTATACTAGAAGCATATTTTTTTCCATTGCTATTTGTCACCTGATAAATGTGGCTACCATTTTAGAATGATTTGGTGGTCGAATTCCGATAGTCCGGCTCACCAAGCCCCTAGCGATTTCCTAACTTGTAATAAATTACATTTTGAGTGAGAAGAAAAAAAACTAATGGTAATATCAATAGAGGCTTAAAATATCATAGGCGCTTTTGAATTAGAGTATGGAACCGACTCGAATCTAAGAATCAGTATTCCTTTAAATTTTTTGAGAATCAGAACCAAACCCACATTTTGACAAATACTTAAATAACTTAGGCGTGACGTCAATATAATATTTAATGTATAATGTATGATAGACCCTGCAAGATTAGCCCGGGACCCGAAAAATAGTATATATATTTTATTTCCTTTCCATCATTCCTTTTTCTTTGCCTGATTGAGATTATGAAATTAATTTAAAAAAGGAAGAGAAGTTTATGGAAAAAATTAGGTGATGGGAGATATTTATTAATGACCTGAAAAATCTTTTCGGCTCAAGAAAGACCGCAGTTTAGTAGTCTAGACTCAGCTTTAAAAATGTTGACTTCAATTTAAATATTGAACAATAACTGATAATTTAAATGATTCTATTTATTACAAAATATGATATAAAAATAAATTAAATAAATCCCACATCCTAAATCTTTTCTTATTTTTTAAAAAATTAATTTTAAAATCGTGATATTCAATGAAACAATATTAATATTTAAAAATAAAAATTATTAGAATGGAAAGAGAGAATAAAAATGATGAGTTAATTTATTACTCATTCTTATAAAAATATAGTGCTGTAAACATTTCTAAAAAAATCGAAAAGCGTTCAATACAAAAATCGTACCCATAATATTCAACGTTCACATTCAAAAAAATGAACGCATTCACGTTTGTTCAAAAATTTATGAATAAATTTTTTTAAAGAATTTTATTTAAATTTACTAGAGATCTGCAGGCCCAGCCCTAAGCTTGGGCATTATAATAATTTTTTTAAATATAATCGGCCCGGGAATAAATTCTATATCAACAATAACGCTTTGCTAAATGCATTAAATTATCATCTAATTTTTCTTTGACTTGAATTGATTTTCCTCTTTCAATAAAAGTAACATTTATAACATCGTTAGGAGATTTAGAATCATGATATTCATATTCATCGGATAATAATGATTAATAATGATTGCGTAGAATGAATATAACATTTAGTTAATTCGTTGAACTAATGTTAAAAATTTGTTTCTCATATTAATGATCATATTTCCTCTTTTAAAAAGCGCGTATTTACTAATTAATTATCATAAAAAGATAGGCCATCTTCAAAAGCCACGTTACCTGCGACATATTTAAAAGAAATAATGACATTTTCCAAAAAAGAGACGATTGGCATTCTGAAAAGGTCACATGATCTGTTTAATCTGACACATTAATGTGATATTAACAGATGTCAACCTTGTGACATGTTCGAATGCCACTTTTTTTTATTTATTTAAATTTCAAATATTCAAAACGTTTAAAAAATATATATACAAACTAAAATATTTTAAAAAAACAGGGGAGGGGAGGATTAATAATATATTTTCAGGCATAGAGCCGAAGATGGAGATTAAATTAGACCTACATGTTCGAGAGATTTCATTGTCTAAGGTATACGTGTTTTTTAGAATCTCTAGTAATTGTTGTTAGCTTTTACTTAAAGTTTTTAAATAATTGCGAATATTTGTTAAGTTTTGATAATTCGCCGGCCACAATGGATGCGTCTCCGGCCCTATATTTTAATCATGATGTTATCACAGGTGCGATGAGCAGACCCTGTAGGACTCTAATATTTAACGTTCATTTTCATGTAAAAAAATGGAATATAATAGATTGACAACATCATTAAATATTCCCTAAAAGCTTTTTAAAAATTTTTGACCGGATTGGGTCTATTAAGAAATAATTATCAATGTACCTTGGGCGGGTCCTGGAGGAAATTAAATCGATATTGCGGTTGTCTAATGAAAGGTATAGGTAATAAAATACAGTTATCCTTCTCTTAATAACAATCATTTTTTTGAATTATAAAATTCATGAAATCAAAATTCTCTTATACTTTGTATTATTTTTTCCTCTCATTCATATTTATACTAATAATATAATAAATTTTATTATTTTTTTCAGATAAAATTGAAGAAATGAAGGAAGCCCCTGATTTCGATTACGATTTGATAGTCTTGGGCGGAGGTTCTGGGGGCTTAGCTTCTTCCAAAGTGAGTATTATCATTTTTTTGTTGTTACAAACAAGCTTTATAAATCACTTCAAAATTAAATCCATTTTTCTTTTTAATTTTTTTTTCAAATGTCATAAATTACAATTTTGGAAAACTTTAACGCTAAGCTCTTATAAATTCATAAAAGTAAGAAATATTAATCAAACATTAAATTGAATCATGGAATTCTTATAATTAATTAAAGATTGTAAGATTCCATTTATAATTTTGGGCATGTAAAATTCTACTTTTATGAAAATCGAAAATATTTTAAAAGATGGAAATTTTTAAAAAAATTAATCATTTCAATTACCCTAAAAAAAAGAAAAAAATAATAGTAAAAGAATTTCTAAAATAAATTGTACTGAATATAAGAGGGGTATAATGGTTTAAATCACAAATTAATAATAAATGAGGGCTATAAAAATTAGTGTTGTTAAACGGCTTGATTTTCAAAAACAGTTAACTCAAAATTTTAGCTAAAAAAAAGCTTGTAGAATTTGCTCATAGACAGGGTTGCCAGGTCAAAATTTTCAAATTGTGGGAGAAATTCGGTATTTTGTGGGAGTAATATAAAAATTGTTGGAGAAATATAAAATTGCTAAAAAATAATTATTTGCAGGCCTTCGGCCCGCAAAGGCCCGGCCTGCGGCCTGGATTTAGAATTGACTTAGTTATCCGCTTATTATTTTTTATAAATATAAAATAGGTAATTATTTTTCAAAATAAAATAGCCAACTATTTTTTAAAATAAAATAGCCAACTATTTTTTAAAATAAAATAGCCAACTATTTTTCAAAATAAAATAGCCAACTATTTTTCAAAATAAAATAGCCAACTATTTTTCAAAATAAAATATCCAACTCTTTTTCAAAATAAAATAGGTAACTATTTTCCAAAATAAAATACGCAACTATTTTTCAAAATAGTTAATTATAGTACGACACAAAATTTCTTAAATACTATCTTTATTATTAAAATAACATATTGATTTATTATAATATATTAATTTTGTTTAAAAATAATAACCAACGATCTTTTTTAAATACAAAAGAATGTAAAAAAGATAAAATTTTATAAAAAAAATTGTAATTTTACAATGTAAAAAAATATATTTTATGCTAATGTATAAATAAGATTTTATAAAAAAACAAACAATTTTAAATTTACAATGTAAAAAATAATTATAATCAGTGCGGGGAAGTTGTTCTACAGTATTTAGTTAATACAATGGGGGAAGGGAATATGATATTTTGAGGCATCAAAAATCTTCAAAGCATAAATCAGTACAGGGCAGTCTATCAACATCTATTGCAAAATTAAAATATTCTTCAAAAATAAGAAATAATACAGATGCAACTACAGTTGCGGAAATGGTAAATACCTATCATGCAGTACAACATTCAGAGAGCAACATCATAATGTTGGTAGAATCTTTCCCCATAATATTTAACGACTAATATAAATGAAAAGTATACTTTGTAGAACACAAATGAGCAAGGCTATCATCAATGTTTTAGGATATAAATCCAGAAGGTTAATTCTTGACGATTTGAAAGATGTGCAAACATATGCAATTCTAACAGATGCATCTAATAAGGAGATATCAAAACATTTCCCTTGATCCTCCCCTATTTCAACAAAATTAATGTCATTTCAATAAAACTATTAAAAAAAATTTCTCCAGATATGAAATATCCAAAGACATAGCTAACCATATATAATTGTAAATATGGCAGATTTAACATTACCAATGAATTGCATGGCAGCTTTCTGATCTGATAATTCCTCAGTGAATTTGGCAAAAACCAGAGTGTATTTACAGAATTGAGTCAGCATAATGTTGGTTGACAGGTTCCTCCTAATACGCGCCATCGTAGAATTTTTAAATTTTACAAACCTTTAAAAAATAAATAGATTATAAAAGCTGTCCTAATATTTTGAAAAAAATTTTCAAAAATAAATGGCAGAAGTATATTTAGGAATTTTACATATAGGAAATCTACTATATGCTGTTAATATGGAGTTGCAATCAGAAGAATATAATTTAATAAAGGTTCACTAAATTATGCTGCAGAAATACCAAAGTAAGAATATTATTACTATTATCGGATAATTATTAATAAGATTTAATATGATGTCATGTTTGAGGAGATTTGCTTCTTTATTTTTATGATTTGCCAAAATATTCAAAATATTAATTTTACAATGTAAAAAATAAATTTATTTGATTTTATGCAAATGTATAAATAAGATTTTATAAAATATAGAAAGTCAAATAGTTATAGTTAATTATATTTTATTTAAGATTTAAATAATGGAACTAAACGTTTACCGTCGTTATTAAGATATTTATAAAATTCCTGGCATGACATTTTATAATTTTGTTTAACCATTAACTCGGCCTCTAATGTTGTTAAAGCTATTCGATTTCTCTCCTTTCTCCAGGCAGTCCTCATCAGGCTAAAAATGCGCTCCGATGAGGCATTAGAATGAGGTAAGGAGAAAACATACTCGCAAATTTTTTTCAAGCATGGGGATTTATCGTTATTACGAAAAAATTCCACCCATTTCTCCTCTGCTTTTAGACCATCTAACTTTAAGTATTCTGGCGAATCATAAAAAATGGAAAAAATTACAATCTCTTCAAACAAGGCTTCAATGTCTATCGGTAATTTTAATATATTTATTAAATTACAAAAACCATCAAATGATGGTTTCTGTTCCAATGTCATAATATTTATACACTTGTAAATAGAGTTTTCCAAAATTGTCTTAATAAAAATATTTGCTTCATTTAAAAATACGTTAATTATAGTAATATTTGAACATTTTAATATGATATTTTTAGCAATAGCGCCATAAAATTTATTATCTATTTTTAACTGTAGAGATGAACAGAGCTGTAGCATGATTTTGTGAATCTTTATCAATAAATAATCTTCTGATTGCAACTGAATATAACTACATGAAGTAGATTTCCTACATGTGAAACTAATCCCAAATATGCTTCTGACATTTCATCCTCGAAAAAATTTTTCAAAATTTTAGGACAGCTTTTAAAATCTTATTTAAGAAGTATTTCTTTAAGGGTTAGTAAAATTTTAAAATTCTCTCGATGGCAGGTATTAATGATAACCACCTGATAGGTACATATCGCAACAACTCACACCATTCAAAATCAGACCACTCCACCAATTCTTTTAATTCAGTGACTCTTTTAGTTGATGAACTAAATTCGTTAAAACATTTCATCACAATTACTTCGACATCTACAGATAGTACATTCATTGCCTTCTTGCAAGAATTATGCAGTATATGGTATATACAGCCAATTAGTATTAATTCATTATTGTGCTGCCTCAATTCGGTAAATACACTTTGATTTGATTAGAATAATATCCACTTCTAAAAGTTCTATTCTTCTAACACAAAAATTTTGAAAATGTCGAGTGGAGTACTGCAATTCTAGATAACGATATAAAATATATTAAGTAATTTAAAATATATTTATAATAATTATACATACTGTTCTAACTTCTATTCTTTCTAACACAAAAATTTTGAAAATGTCGAGTGGAGAATTGGAGAATTTTATAAAAAATATATTTTAGAGCGGAAAAATAAAATAAAAGAACTAGACATATTTTTCGAATAAATATTTAAAATTTATTTTAAAAATATAAAAATAATCAAATACTATCTCTCAAAATTATTATTTATATATTAAAAACATTAAAATGCTAAAAAAAAAAATTGTGGGAGAAATTAAAAAATTGTGGGAGATTTCTAATTGTGGGAGTTTTGTGGGAGTGAGATGTATGTGGGTAAACTAAAAAATTGTGGGAGACTCCCACTGATGGGGGGAGACATGGCAACCCTGCTCATAGATGACAGAAAGGTTTGACATCTATAAGTTAAATCTCGAAACTAATTTAATATTATTTTGATAAAATCGTAAATTAATATCGTCAAAATCGTGTTTCACAACACTAATAGAAATATTGTAAACAATAAACAAATTTTGTTTAGTTAGAAAACTGTGAGAAAGGTTATGTGAACACGGTAAAAAAAATTAGTTTATAGCGAATAAATGCGGAAAAATTGAAAGATAAAAATGAATACAGTAAGGAACAAAATAAAGAAAGAAATTTTTTAATCTTTTATATTAATCTTTTATATATATATATATATATATATATATACTAATCAATATTCGTAAGTAATATATATGTATTTTAAAGGAAGCTGCAAAATATGGCATAAAAGTTGCGGTATTCGATTACATAGTACCTACACCTTTGGGAACGACTTGGGGTATATATAACCATGTTATAGCATCCTCTAAAGTTGAATTTATTTATTATTTTTATTATTAAAACAACAAATATCAAAATGCATCCGTGCATTGGAATAAGTCTAGTTTAATTTTTCGATAAAAATAGAGTATGCTTCTATATGTACTATCAAAAATATACGATAAATATTTATTTATTCCTAATTGATAAACTAAGGATTACCATATCGAATTTAGGCATGAAATTATTAGTGTTTGCATTCTACTGCGAAAGCCTGCTCTTATTCAGCTTTTATTTCATAGCGAAATTTATTCTTCAAAGGCCGTTATATAAATTGAATTCCCTTTTTTAACCATTTCTTTTCTTTTTATTACCAATTTTAAAGTTAGGTGCTCTCTTAATTATTTTACGATATATACACATTATATAACAAAACGCTAGTTTTTCATTTATGTTAAAAAATAATTTGAGTGGGACCTCCTTCATAACGATCTTACGAAACTAAAATGATCTTCTACCACTTAAAATTATAATGATCCGCTGTAAAGTTCTCAGTGAAAATAATTTGATTAACTTTACAGGATTAGGTGGTACTTGTGTAAACGTGGGCTGCATTCCCAAAAAGCTAATGCATCAAACATCCCTCCTCAAAGAAGAAATTGTTAGAAGTTCGGACGCGATGGGTTATTCATTTCCCAATTTTTCTACAAATGAAGATGATCAACATTGTCACCATAATAGTGAGTTTGCTTTATTTTCATATTTTTATTTGTAAAAATAAAAGACCTGGCTGGCTCGGATAAATCTTATAAGAGGTTCGACCAGATAAAGATGCAAATGGGGAGGGGCTAATATTACGGAAATATGCGTTATCTATGGGAAAAGTGATATTATTAAAGGCCGTTTTTAAACTTGGTACGAGTAAATTAAAAATCAACTATTTTTCTGGCTATCAGTTTTCTATCTTGGTTGGGCAAACTTTCTCAAGGTAATATTATATGTTTCATAGGCGTATGTAAGAGGGAAGGCAAGGAAAAATATCTCTTTCTGGAATTTGCCTGTTCTCGTAACCTTTTTAGCTAAAAAAAATTCCTTTACACCCCCCCCCCCTTCACTCAGGGAGCTAACGAAACAACCATAATAATGTAACCTTTCAAATCTTTAAAAATACCATTAAAGGACAATAATTATGGGAAGAGGCCGGAGGTGAGGTTGAAGTATGACGTTTGGTTATTAGTGGGGCCGTGATATATGTGTTTAATTTTTTTTAGAATATTATTCATCTTAAATTCTTGTAAATTTTATCAATCCATAATGATTTATCAAGATTAATATATTTTATTTGATATATGTGTTTAATTTTTTTCAGAATATTATTCATCTTAAAATTCTTGTAAATTTTAATCCATAATGATTTATCAAGATTAATATATTTTATTTTTAAATTTTTAATGAATTTATATTTCTTTTTTCTGTATATAAGACGTGAAAAAAAAGGAATAAAGAGGTTTTTTGTTTTGATTTCAATTTTTTACTTTTTGATGAATATTTTCTTCTGATTCTTATTTTTCCGTATTTTTTTCTTATGAATTATTTTTCTGTATTTTTTTCTTATGAATTATTTTTCTTCTTAATTAATTAGTTGGAAATTAATATATAGAAGAAATAAATATATTTAATTTATAACTCAAAAAAAATAAAGGAGATTAATCTAATAGAAAAAATTAAAAATGGTAAAAACCCAAAATACATAAATATTTTAAATATTTATTTAAATGTATATAAAAACGGACTTTTAAAATAATTATCCAATTATATTTTGTTTTATCGCGTTAATTAATAAAATTTGTAAATAATTATTTTAAAATATTAAGAAATAAAAAGTGAAATAAAGAAAAAGGCTTTGATTTAATTACGTTGTTAAATTTGTGAATTATTATTTTTTGACAACTGAGGTCCTTACGCAACGATTTCCTAATTTATTTGCCACAAATATAAAATTTAATAAAATTTTATCCGTTAGTTAGCGCATTTTGCCCTCCAAAAATGGATTTATTTTGCCAATATTTTCTTTTTTCAAAATCAGCTTTTTATTATTAGTAGAAAGCGTTGTTATTTCCTTTTTAATAACGGAGTGTTATAATTTATTTTGAGTTCATTTTGAATGAAGATTGGAAATGAAAATATAGTCGCCTGAGGATTATACTATTCTATCTCCACATTTTGAAACTTTACAGGAGACCGTTTAAAAAAAAATGGTTTTCATATTTTCAAAACGATAGAGCTAGAAATTTGGTTTTTTTTTATTTTAAAGATCACATTGAAAATTATATATAAAGCAATTTTCATATATAACGTAAATGTAGTTTTCCCGAAAATTGTAGTATAATTTCTCTAGATATGGACATAGAATAAAATTTATGTTTTATTATTCTTACATCTATTAAAATTAGTATTTTTTTCTTAAATTTGTCTCCAAGAATAATTTAACATGTAATTTCCCAAATGTTATTTATAGGTTTTTATAATTGAAATAACAGGGCTTCATTTACGGGTAGTTTAGTAGGAGTAGAGGACCGCTCAGTCAGTCCTTATAGTAAAATAATTTATTAAAAGCTTTTATTAAAATTAAGGATTACAACATTTATTAATTACCAATAAAAAAATCAAATTAAAAATTTAAGATCAAGATAAACATGGAAATTAGTCCCTCTTTTATAGAAAATAAAATTGGCATAAAGTGAAAAAAGTAACATTTTTGTGAAGTTAGTTTTATCTTACATAATTGGGGATAAAGCCAACCCCCCTATTCGGAACTCTAATTATACCTGTTGATTCAGGACGATCTCCGGGACAACTGTCTAATTTATAATTAATGAACACCTTACTAAGGAGTCCAAAAGTTTGAAAAACCCCTGATTAAAAAAAACACAAAAGCCATATGTTTTACTTTTAATGTAATTAAATCAAACAAAAGAGGGACTTGAAAAAAAATTATTTTATATTTATTATTAAAATTTATTATATTTTAAAAAGTTCGAAAGTAAATGTAAAATCTGGAGGCAGACTTGGGCTCGAATATTTATTTAAACACTGAACTCCTCAAAAATTTTGGTTACGACATTAATTATATATTGACCCATTTAGGTCACTATTACTACCAAAATCATATTAGAATTATTTATCTAAATGTTATACTTATTGATAACTTTTCTATGTTGACAAAAATATTGTATTTGCTTATTATTTTAAAATTTGAATATATTTATTATAATTCCAGCGTGTAATTGGCTAACGCCACCTCGATTATATTTTTCTTTAAAAAAGATAATGATGATCATAATATACCTCAACTAATGGATTTGGAGGAATCATCAAAAACACTTCATTCAAATGGAGAACTTTCATCACAAATGATTCATCGTTTGACATACGCTAATCATGATCAAAATATTTCTAAAATAGATTGGAACAAAATGGTCCAGGCTATACAGAATTATGTACAAGGTCTGAATTTCAAGTACAAATCGGCACTGAGATCTTCTAAGGTTACTTACTTCAACGCTTATGCCAAATTTGTGGATGATCATACTATAGAGGTTTTTTTTTTAAAAAAATTGCTACTAATATCATATTTGTTTTTATGTTGAAAGGAAGAAATATTTAAAGAAAATCCAAAATGTTTTTAAGGGAGATCTTTGAAAACTTATCCTTTTATCCTCAGAGTTAGAGGCATAAGAAAGGCTAAGTAGGATTCTTTTATACTAGGGCACTATTACAATTCCAAGGGGCTCAACTATAAAAATTTTATTATGCCCCCATTACCCCCTATTTTGCGGGTCTTCTCCACACTTTTTCCCGACCTTCGGCCGGGTTTTCTTTTAATATATTATAATTTTTAGATTGAAATTTGCAAACCCTGAACTAGTATTTAAAATTTCATATATTTTATTTATTATTCTACATACTAATACTAACATATAAATAATAAAAGTAAAACAATAAAAGACATTTGGTAAGCTAAAATTAATATTTTTTAATACAAAATATTTTTTTATTTATTAAATTATTAAATACCCGCCATTACAGAGATATATTATAATATAATATTAAATAGCATTGAATATTTGGGATCGAATATGGAAAAGTTTTGCAATAAAGAATTGCAAAAATGTAAATATATTCATTTTTCCCACAATGCCTTATTACAGTATTAATTATTTGATTGCGGTTAAAAAAAATTTACAACTAAAGAATTACAGAGATAAAAAAGCGTTTATTTATTCCTACACTGAATAATGAGTTTAAAAAACCAAGGCAATTTAGCAACTTACATTGACAAAAGGTCGCAGCTAATATAAACTCGGTAATCATTTTTTATATCTCTATCATTCATAATTATTCATCATTATCTAAAAAAATTTAATGAGATATATTTAAAAGTGTGTTTCATTAAATGTACTTTGTTGAATTACCACTCTCTCATTATCCAATGGACCTTTATATTGATTGTTGCTACCAACACTCAGGCATTCTCTTCAGATTCCATGCCTATAACTAATTTTATCTTTAATTATATTAAAAACTATCATAGTATCTCCGCTATTTCACAAAGATTCTATTGTTTTTAAATAAAATCTCTTGTATGTAAATTTATTTATCTATTTTCTTTCATATTTTGAATGCCTTTTTTATACCTCTCACATCCATAATTAATATTTCTTTCATTTATTAATCTAAATAAAATTAGTGTGACAGTCGTGAAACAATGAAGAATTTTATCACATCCTATTGTAATTAATTTCATATATATATATCTTTCACAAATAAATGTAGTCACATCAATTAATCATTTACTTTTCTAGGTTAATTTATATTAAATTGATTCTATTACAATTAGTTTAAGTGTATTCCATTACATGTAATTTGTTGAACTACAACTCCTTCTTTATCCAATATACCTTTATATGAAATGTTGCTAACAAGAATCAGACTTGGCATAGCTTCCTCATCAGATTCCATGCCTATATCTAATTTTATCTTTAATTATATGGAAAAATTTAGGGCTCTACCGATCTTAAATATCGGATCGGCACCGATATTTAGCGTTTTCCAAAAATATCAGATCGGGCCATACCTGTAAAAACCGATTCGATCTTTTTACTTTTCTTTTTTTTGTTATTTTATGTATATTTATTTTACATTAATATTTTCTAAATAATTTTTTTTTAAACAATGCAAATGCACAACACCTCTTAAATTTTATTAATTATTTAAAATAGATTTATCGTATTTTAAAAGTTTTTTTATAAAAATAGAAACGAACAAAAATTTTATTTATTTTAAATCTTTTAAAATAATAACGCCATTTTTATTATTATTACTTTAAATAAAAGAATTTTTTAAAATATGGTATCTCTTTTGCAAAATGCGTTATCTGCGGAATTTTAATTTCAGGGGGAGGAATGATGAAAAATTCATTTAATATTACCAATATCCGTAAACTAATTATTGTAGAAATAGAAAAAATTAAATCAAATGTATAATTCGATTTTTTGCATAAGAAAATATTGATTTCTTAATTACATTTGTTTGGGGAGTGATGAAAAATCAATATAAATATCGGATCGGTTTTGAACCAATATCGGATCGGTGAAAAATATGTGGATCGGCACAGCCCTAGTACGATCATTGTTCATATTCCCGATTCAACCTCACATATAGCTTTTATTGTTTTACAAATGATTATCTTATATATAAATTATTTCTTATTTTCTGTCTCTTTATTTTTGCTTCCATTATTTATATCTCTCAGAACTGTAATCAATCTTCTTTTATTATCTATAGCGTAATTTTGCAAAACTGTATTTTAAATATACTTTGATGAACTCCAATTCCTCTATTGTCTTCTCTTCTGTCAATATCATCAACATCGATATTGCTCCTATTTCCATTATTTAATGCATTCATCTCAAAATCAATATCTCTTCTTTCTTCATTATATAATAACTATAAAATAATGAAAGATGTTTTAATTAAATATACTTAGACCTATAACAAAGAAGTCTCGTATACTGGTTTGGATTTTAGAAAGGAAAAGGCATAGTAATTTTAATTTAAAAATGAGTAATATAGTTGAATAGTGATTTTGAACTCAGCAACACAAATCAAAATATTATTTGGATTGAATTTATTTTCAATTAATAAATGATTATATTTATTAAGGATTGTAAAATCAATTAAGCTTATAAATCTTTAAACATTATGAGTAATATTGATATTCCATTTTTAACACAGAATTTTTGTAATTGTTAATATAGTTTATATGTATTAATCTAATGATTAAAATTGCACTCATTTATAAAAAAAAATTATATGATCCTGATAATTTTTTCTAAGTAATATCAAATCTATATATAATACATAATAGAATTCTAAAAAATCGTTCAGGGAACTATCAAAAAAAAAATTTTATTCAAAGGATTAGTCATAGGGGGCTCGAGCTTCTGCGTGCCATTATCATATCTGTATATATATTTGAATATACTCTATTGATTCTGTTAATTCACACAAACAAATTTGTGTTTATACAGTAGTAAAATGGATTAATCGTGAATTGAACCGGGTTTTATCTAGTGTTGTTAAATATTCGAGTTCTTGACTCGCTCCGACTCAAGCCACTCAAGGAGCCGTATGACATGACTCGCTTAAGTCTGCTCAATTTTTTTTTAGTTTTTATATATTTTTTTACATGTATTTTGTAAAACGGCTCCATTCGAGTCGATTTTTATAAACGGCTTACTCAATATTTATCTACAAAAAAATTAAAGCCTGAACTCATAGATGACAGATTGGTTTTTGCATCTATTAGCAAAATTTCAAGGCTTAGTCAATATTTCCCAAATATTGAGTTAGCCGTTTTTAAAAATCGAGCCATTTAACAAATTCGTATTTTGTAGTAAATTTTAACATTTTTTTAAAATGTATTATTTTTTAAGTTTGTTTTTAGAGTTGTTAAACGATTAATCTGAATCGAAAAATCGACTCCGACTTGAAGCGCAATACTTTTTGCGGTTTAAATATTGTGTTAAAGTAATTTATATACTTTTGTGAAGTTAGCGTACACCTTGTACCATCCCAAATCTTGCGATAGAAGAGATCCAGAATTATTTGGTGGATCCAGTGACACAAACAACAGTGGGAGTGGATGTTCTTAGTTAGTGGTCTGGAAATGCCTAGAGATTTACAAAGTTATCGACTATGGTCAGAGATTATTTAAGGGAACAAACAACAACGGTTGCCAATTAAAGATTATTTTTCCTAGCTGCCGATAAAATTCAAAAAAAATCTCCTAATTTGTGGGACATTAATATTTTAATTTTTGCATATACGATTTATACATTATTTAATATAAATTGTAAGTTTATATTTTATAATAAATATTAAATGATATGTAATAAAATTCGTCTTATTTAATTTATTTTAAAATTTATACAAAATTTTGATTTTAGTTTAATATATAGATTAAATAAACATTTCTTAATCTTCAAAAATATGCCTCTTAATTACCAAATAGATTATGTTCAACACTATTCTTGAAAATTATATTCTTCCATATTTAATATATTTGAATCAGGAAAGAGATTAGGCAATAAGCTTGTATGTAATCTTTAGATAAATAACCAAGGCCATTTTCAAACAGAACGTTTCAAACGGTTTTTGGTTAATGTTACCAGCAATTTTTTTTTATTTCCAAACAAAGGATAATAATTTGTAGTGATTTTTTTAAATATAATATATCATTTTTTTAAAACATCTGGACTGGATCCCCATTTCAGTTGTCATATAATTGTATAAAATCAAACTTTTTGATAAATTAGTGTTATCCAAGTCAACTATTAGATATTTTTAACAAAATGCATCTTAATAAACATATATATTTACCAAGATTGTTTTTTTTAAATCAGCTATAAAATATTATATTTTCAAATAATGTATTTTAATAAATACAAAATCATCCGAATCAGTATAATCTACCAGATTTTGGTAAAAGTTCAGTATATTTTGCTAATGATTTAAATTGTGTATATATTGAAAATAAAATAAAGTGGTTTCTTTATAATCGTGCAAGATATTATAATTTAGGTTAAATACTCCTCTCTAGTTTCAACATAAATAATATTAAAATAAAAAAATTTTATAGAACCAAATTCACATTAATCATTAACCCAAAATTTTGCAATCTGCCATACATATTTCTGTTAATATGGTACAAAGTGTAAGCTAACCACACAAAAGTATATAAATTGCTTTAGCACAATATTTAAACCTCAAAAGGTATTGCACTTAAAGTGGGAGTCGATTTTCGAATAGAAATTCGACTCAGCTTAGCTGTTTAACTTACTAAAAACAAACATAAAAAATATATTTAAAAAAATTATATGTAAAAATCTACTATAAAATACGAATGTTGTTAAATGGCTCGATTTGAGCTGATATTTAAAAACGGCTAACTCAATATTTTAGCCAGAAAAATATTGCCTAAGTCTCGAGATTTCGTTAATAGATGCACAAAACTATCAGCCATCTATAAGCAAAATCTTCAGGGTTGTGTAATATTTGAGAAGATAAAATATTGAGTTAGCCGTTTATAAAAATGGCTCGAATGGAGTCGTTTTACAAAATACATGTAAAAATAGTATATATCAAACATTAAAATTTACTTATAAAAAAACTAAACAAAATTGAGCCTACCCAGTGTGTAAGCGAGTCGGCTCATACGGATCCTGAGCGGCTTGAGTCGGAGCCGTTTTTACGACTCGATCTCTTGTCGTAAGAACTCGACTATTTAACAACGCTATTTTGATTCGAATTGAAGTCGTTTTTCGACTAGAAACTAGGCTCGAGTTGCAATTAAGTCGACTCGACTTAGCCGTTTAGCAACACTAGTTTTTCATATAAGCGATAACTTGTTTTTTCTGGCTATTTTGAAAGAATATAGAATATTTTAAACGTTATTGTTTTCTCAATTTATTGTAAGAAATTATATATTTACTAGTATAGCCATATCTACTTTAGGAATTTTTTTAACCTATAACTTTCAAATATTTAAAAGAAACATTAAGTTCAAAAATATGGAAATTACACAAATTTATATATTTCTAAATTTTAAATTAAAATTTTTACTTTTAATTTTTGATAGTAGAAGTGTATATTATTATGTCGTAAATTAGGCCTGATTTTACTGGAATCGTATATTTATAGAGTATACCTACCTACCTTGTGAATATCAGACATTTTGCTTATCTTTATGTATTTTATTTATAAAAAAAATCTATAATTTAGAGTATGTTTGAAATTCACAAGGGTAGGTTCTAGTGATGCAAACTTGCTCCATTAGAGACGATTTTTAAAAATGGCTAATTCAATATTTTAGCCACCAGCAAATTCGAATATTTAAATATTTGGTAAAAATCTTGATTTTTCTAAATCCTTCAAATGATATTATCAGAATAAAAAAATTTTACCCCAAATTATTCTGTTAAAAATTTTTAAAAATATATATATTAGAATGTTTACTACTCAAACCTTATATATGTTTTCAAGGCTAAAGATAAAAAGGGTAAAATAACTAGATTAACTTCTGCGAATTTCATAATTGCGACTGGTTTGCGGCCTTCATACCTGGAAATCCCTGGGGCTAAGGAATACTGCATAACCAGGTATTGTTTTATAATAAAATATCATTTTCTGTATAATGTTATCACTTTATTATATTTTTATAATGAAAAGAACCATTAATATAGTCAGAGGCATTTCAGGATGTAAATAAAGGGCATTTGCCCCTTTCGAAATTTGACAAATAATTTAGGTCTTTAAGATATAATGCGCAATATGTTTCTGTAAACTTTTAATATGGTATCTTAAATCCCGCTCCCCCCCTCCCCCCCCCCAAAAAAATGAGCACATCAAAATATTATAATTAATGTACTAGTGTATTAATTAAACTTATCAATAACCAACTATATTAAATCGTCAATGAACCAATTTAATTCATCATTTATTAGAGTTCCATACTTGTGTTTTATTAGTAAAAGTTCTTAAAAAGCTGAGTGGCAGTCGATTCCCCCAACAACAACTCAATATATTGATTATTTATACCAATATACAATATTATTAAATTGAATGCCATAGTGACGATTTATTTTCTCTTCCATACCCTCCGGGCAAGACATTGTGTGTTGGGGCTTCGTACATCTCCTTAGAATGTGCCGGATTTTTGCACGGAATAGGTTTGATACAGATAATTGGCTTTTCCTGAATTTTTTTAAAATATTTTTAAAATTTAATATTCTCATTTAGAAGAGGTAAATGAGTCAGATATTCAAAATTACTTTTATTAATATAATTTCTAAGAATTTAGATATCGTGAAATTATTGATAAGCTAAATTGACGATTTATTCATTAAATTAAAAAAAGGAACATACATTTAAGTTTGCCATTGATAGATATTTAGACGAGAGTGATGCTATTTACAGTTTTGGTGGTTTAAAAGACTTTCACTTTGTTCCATATCATACACTCGCTTCCGTTACACAATATATCAAACCCCGTAACGCAGAAATTTTTAGTCCGAATTGGAAAAAAGACATGAAAAATTGACCCCTTTCATTCAGCCACCCTCATTAGCCAAACGATAAATAATTTTTATTAAAACGAGTTTTTCTTTTTTAGTTTCAAATTTGAAATAATATTACTTCTTAAACCAAACATAAGAGGAATGTAGATGAAATACCTTTCAATGACGTCTACTAGAGCCAATAAAATTGATTACAGCTGACTTCAATGTATGTACGACTTTTTAATAAATAAATTATCAATCTATGTTAGTATTATAATATTGAAATTTTTTTAAAAAAAAGAAGTTAAAGTTTATTTTAATAAATCAAAGCGCCATAGAGTTAAATTAGAATAAACAACAAGAGTTATAAGATTATCTTTATAATGAATTATTTGTTTCGTTTAAGCAAATCGAATAATTTATCGTATTCTTACGTATAATAAATTTTAGTATCCTTTTTATATTAGAACTAAATCAATGTGGAAGAGGGGGGGGGGCAGGTAGAAAATATTTTTCCTTATTTTAGTGGATATATGGAGAATATAAATTTTGGGGTAAGGGTAGCACTCGGCTTGTTACCTCCAAATTATTTTCTCTCATGAAGAAACGTTTAAATATTTCATTCTTTTCTTAATCTTGCTAAAAGGTTATCCAGTGACTATTATGGTAAGATCTATCTTGCTCAGAGGCTTCGATAGAGGAATGGCCGACGTAATAGGTGGTCACATGGAAAGGGAAGGAATTAATTTTATAAAGCAAGCCATTCCCACCAAGGTTCCTTTTTTTGAAAAAAAATAATAAAATCATTGGTTACATCATTCAGTTGTTAGTAAACCGTAATCGTCCTTAAATATTTAAACTGCAATAAAAAATACAGCTTAAGGTATATATTAAATGTAAGTGGTGTCCCTAGGCTGGAAAAATGGGAAGGGAGGAAAATTCCGCTTAATCCTCTCTTCGGATGAAAATATGAAGAAAAAAAATAAGAATTAATGAGAAAACAATTTTAAAATATTTTTTTTTATAAAATTCAATTAATTTTATTCGTACACGTCTACTAGCATAATAATATAAGAGGTAGGAAAAAAATAATAATATTATGAAGATTGAAAAAATAAAAATAGCAAAAACGAGATATTGTCCATCCTTATATGCAAATTTAATATTAATATGTTATAAAAGTTTTTTCTAAAAAAAATTTTTCCATGTCCATTTTATTATCATTATATTATTATAAAAATATAAAAAACTCATTCTATAAAAACGGAGGTGGGACTACAAGTTCCCAAAAAAACATGAATAATTATATTTTAAAATGGTAATTTGTATATTTTGTTTTAAAAAATAAATTCTTTGGGTTCTGATCTAATGTAAGGGCTCTTATTTTGCCGCCTATATTTTTAAAAATTATAAAGTTCCGCATCACATATGTCCAAGGGAAAAGATAACGATTTTTGAAAAAATAAAAAAATTTTCTCGGCTATATCAACCGGGTCAGCATTTAATTTTTGGTAATGAAGAGACGTATGTGAAGTCCCAAATTAAGGTTTACCTAAAGACCAATGCACAGAAGTTAAGCCATCTGGTTTTAGGCCATCAACTAATGATTCATTAGCACGCTCCAGGATATTTGGTATTCGGGCCCTCGTAAGAGAACAGCTAATAACTGAATTAATTGCTGCGTGTCTTGCATGTCTGTCTTGATTATATATACAATTAGGACCATTATCTCCCTTTGGAAACAACTAATATTTTACATTTTATGTATGTATGTTGTTGAACTATGTTACATCCAATCGATGGCTTATAGCAACTCTTAATTGTTCATCTGATAAGAGGTTACCTAGGTTACGACTTGGTAATGCTTTCAGCCTAGTGTTGTAGAATGAGTTTTTTATAATAATATGATGATAATAAAATAGACAAGTTACAAAAGTAAGTAATACAAAATACTATTGATTGTATTTTTCAATATGGTTATCTTTTTGACGCCCATGGTTTAGCGCTAACCTTATTCGTTGAATATATTGTAAAAAAACGTAGGTCGAATTAATTTTTTAAAAAATATTTTTGGCCCATTCCTTATTTTTAATAATTTTAGCAATATTTTAATTGTGTTAAAGGGAAGAAATTAAAAAATATGAACATATTTAAAATATTAAATTCTATTTAACCTTATTTATCATTTTGTTTATGAGAGTATCTTTTTTTTTAAAAAAAAAATAATTAAAAAATATACATTATACATTTTGCATAAGATTGTAAAACTTAAAGAAGGAAATCCGGGCTTGTACAAAGTGCACTATGTTAAGGATGACGGGACGGAAGGTTATGAAATGTTTAACACGGTATATTCTTTAAAATTATATATTTTTCCAGGCTATTTTTTTTGACCATATTAATTTTAAATAAGGTTGGGCATTTCTACATTTATAAGTGAATACTTTTATAATTGATTTATTTACGATTCACAATATGTCTTCTACTACCTAATATGCCACCTAAAAAAATTAAAGAGATTATATTAATGAAAGAAGATGCATAATGAAGTAATTAATCATGAGGAAGGTTTCGCTTCATTTGAGCCGAGAAATTGCTAACTCAGTATTCTATCCAGAAAAATATTACGCACGCCTGAAGATTTTGCTCATATATTGCATAAAGGTTTGGACATCTATTGGCAAAATCTCGAGGTTTAGGCAATATTTTTCTAGATAGAATATTGAGTTTGCCATTTTTAAAAATCGGCTCGAATAAAACGATTTTGCATCATTAAAGAAAGTGCTAACAATGTTAAACCAGCCTCACGAATAGTGAATGCTTATTATACGATTGGCTATTTTTATAAATGATATAGTTTTAAACTTAAAATATGCTTTACTGTCGATTTTTTTTATTAATATTAATTCTTTGTGTTAAAGATGTAAACATCATGTTATAATTTAAAAAAAATGAGTTTAAATGTTTGTTTCAGTGGAAAAAAAAATCAGAGGATAGCGTAATATGAGTTTGGCTTAGGTATTAACACAAAATCATATTTTAAAATAATATCGCATATATTATTATAGATACTTTTGGCTATAGGAAGAATAGCTAAAACTCAGGATTTGAATCTACACTCAATTGGTGTCAAAATTAATCCCAAGTAATGTATTCATTATAGGCTAACAATTAAATTATGATTAAAATTAATTTTTCATACTATTTCCAATGATGTAAGCCTTACTTTAAAAAATAGCAAATTAACTACTTTATAGTATTGCTATTTTTAGATATATTTTTTTATAAAAGAATGTGAAAATATCTTTAATAACAAAGGTAGTAAATGCCAAATATTTTATTTTAAAAAAAATCCATATATAGTTTGATTGGCACTTAAGAGTATGGAACTTTTTTTGATGATTGGAATAGACTCTGTATTAGGATAATTTTTAAATATTTTGTATAGAACTCGCAAAATTTTGACTTCCTCTTCTGATCAAAGTAGTGTCCCTCATATTTACTCTATAGGAGATAATACCGAAGGTCGGCCAGAACTAACCCCCGTAGCTGTGCAAGCAGGCATTCTTTTGGCTAAAAGACTTTTTGCTCCTTCGAATTTCAAGACCCTGTGCGAATATGAAACAGTTAATTTTTTAAAAATTTATATAATATATGAGAGACCTGGAAACCATTTTTTTAATCGAACACAACTCGCATCCCTTATTATATAATGTCAAAAAGAAAATCATTAATATGAATTTAACAAATAGATTTATAATCAAGAGATCTCCCATCTAGTTGCAAAGGTATATTCTACGACTCAGATTGGATGCAGGAATAGGATCCTTTAATTTTGGAATACGTTTTATTAGATATTATTCCTATTGGACGGAAAATTATGTGTAGAAATATTAATAATTTATTATCTCTCACGATTCACTGCGCCCATCAATTGCAAACCCTAGATAAATTGGGGTGTCTTCTATTAAAAATATAACAATACCATAGACTCCTGGATATAAAGTCATACTGAAAATTATATGCCTTTAGTAATGAGAAATTATTTACCGCCATCTGTTTCTTTCATTAATATTAAGAAAGGATTTCAGTGTGTGGAGTATCTCTGCTGGCTCATAGTTATATGTTGTAATAAAAATTGGAAATAAGTTTTTTCCATTGCTATGATTGCCTAAATTGTAATTTAGAGTTAATATTTGAAAATTTTATGATTATAAAGTCTGAAGTTTATTTTGAGATTTATAGTTTTTTCAACACATTTTCTTTGTAATTATTTAATTAATATATTAGGTTCCTACTACTGTTTTTACACCTATCGAATATGGGGCCTGTGGTTTAAGTCAAGAAGAGGCCACAGAGAAATTTGGTTTGCATGATGTGGAGGTAAGTGTATTTTTATGTAGAACGGGGAAACTAAAATAATGCATTTTAAATTTCAAAAATAAACTAAACTTAATTTTTTATAAATTCAAAATAATTTTTTTTTTAAATCTAGTTATTAATTTTCTAAATCAAATTTATTATATTTTTTAACAGTATTATAATTTATTTTAAAATAATAAGATAAAATAAATCTCAAATGAACTTGTTCATATAATTACAAGAATTATATTTCTCTGTAATAAGTTACAAGACAGCCTTTCTCGAAATAAAATTTTCTTAAAAATAATATCTTCATCGCATTAAAAAAAGGTATATATCAAGAAATTTAGACCATTGGAATGGGATATTTCTAAGATTGAAAAGAATCACATCGCTCTATACAAAATAATTGCAATCAAATCATTACAGGTTTGCTTAAATATTATACTTTTCAAGATAATATAGTTTTTTTAAATAATTTGATAGCTGACTGGTATCTATCACTCGAGAAAAGTAATTTACCCACTTCGAATAGGGGCTCCTGGGTGGATAGTTGGATTTTTTTATTATATCCTCTTTTTTTAAATATTACATTTTTTATTTACCATAGTTATTTAGCGAAATTTTATCTTTATATTACTATTGTTAAAAATTTCGATTTAGCCGGTTCGGAAAAATCTAAGTTTTTAACAATACTACTTTACATTAGGGTTTTACAAATTTCTCAAATAAAATACCTTGAAAGATTTTTGAAAAATAATTTAAATTAGTTAAATATGTATGGATGGCCCAATTATTCATCAATTTGGCATCTATCTGTTATTATAATTAATAAATGTATATAAATCCATAATTGTTTGATTAATGCCAATACTAGCTCCTGATAACAGGGTAACTAGTGAAGCTCTTCCTTAATGAGTATTTACCCACTCAAGAAGGCTAAGTAAAAGCAACAACAACCCCACTATTTATTAAAAATTTATAAGGTTTTTTAACTATACTTTATAGAATAAAGTGGTAGGTTTTCATTTTTGCGGGCCTGATGCTGGTGAAGTTACCCAAGGGTTCGGGGTAGCCATCAAAACTGGCAAGGGGACGCTGGCCGATTTCAAACGTATCATCGAGATGAATGTGCCAGAATCTCAAGTTTTTTACAATGAATAATAATTTAAGAGGTTTAATTTCTTAGGAATTATGTTAAATAAAGAAAAGATATAATACGACCTAAATCTTAAATGCCATATTCCTTTTTAAGACATTCAAACTAGAGGTCTGTAAATGGTAAAATTATCCGATCCGGCGGTGGGAATATAATTTTTCCCAGCCCGGTTTCGATTTTTTACTAATGTTACCCAGCCCGGTTTAAATTTTTTTTAAATACAAGGCCTGGGGAATGGTTAAATTATAAACAGATTTATCACTTCTATGAAATATCAGAATTCATCAAAAAAATTTCTTATATAATTTTTTTTTAAATTTAAACACCGAAATAAACTTATAATTGTTTCAACTAAATAAATTATATTTTTACGTATAAAGACATAAGTGTTTTCATAGGAACATCATATTTATAAAATAGGCAATATTTATACCTAAATTGCCTCTAAGTATAGTTGGGTAATGTTCTATTTTTAGCCCAAACACTATCACTTCAGTCTTGGGATGAAAAAAAATACATATAAGGTTAATACGAAATGCGAGGAGGCAAAAGTTTAATTAATAATTGAAATTTACAACCTGTAAATAATTTTTGGGTAACAAATATAATGACTTAAATTAAAACGTGACGAAATAATTTACAAAAAATTTTTTAACTTATATGTATATTCTAAAAAAGTGAATCTAATCCCAAATAACGACCCAAATATTTTTATTTTGAGGTTTTTTGATTGTGTAAATCATTCTTATTCATAATATCAGTATTGGAATTCTCAAACTATAATATAGAAATATTTTTTCCCTTTTCATTAAATGAGTGCATGACGATTTTGAGCATTGCAAAACATAATTTTAATGAATATATAAAAAAAAAATTTCCAAAATTATTTAGATATATCTAAATGCACCTGTTTGAGCTAACGAATTAAACAACATTACACTCGGTCAAATAAAGATATATTCAAATTTCGAATTTTTCCATTTCTTATTTGGGAACAATTTTCAAGTCTCAATGAATACTACTTTTCCGTCATAATTGTTATTCCTTTATTATTATTTTATGTAAATATATAGGCATGTTTTAAATATAACCCAAGGTTAATTTTAGCAGGGATCTTAAACATTATGTAAAATAAATAAAAGAGTTCGACGACGCCAAAACTGGATTCATTTTATATAGTTTGTGAATTCCACGACAAATCAACAGGAAGCATGGCTTCTCTCCTATTTAAAAAAAATGTGAAAAGGGAAAAAATTCTGCTATGACTGACTTTAATTATTTTTATAAGTAAATTAATAACTTTTTTTTAAAACTTTTTTCAGCCATTTTTATTTTTTTTTGCGATTTAAGAAATAATGGTTTATATTCTCATTTATTACGAGTTTATCGCCTCGAGGATGATAGGTAGGTGGTTTTTATATGTTGAATTTTTAGGTTTTTTTTCAGAATATAACGAAATCTTTTAGGTAAATAGCGATCCATTGGTAGTTTTATATTCCTAAAAAGAATTTTAAGTCATGATTATCATTATTTGTATAAATTTTTTAATAGCTTTAAAGATAATTTGTCACAGATGTTCTTCAGTTTGATCTATGATACATCCAAGATATGGTAGCTTTACTTTCATTTTAAAAAAGCTATGTTGAAACTTTCATTAGTAAATAACATCTTGGGAATTTTCAATGCCGAGGTTTGCCAAGACTTTAGAGAGCTGTCGCTTTAATTTCATGAGCATCCACTTCATGGAATGAAACTCACTTAATATATAATGGTTACCTTTTTAGATATGATTTTCTTTATAGTCTATTAATAATAATAATTCATCATCGTATCGACATATGTTTTTTAATGTTTCATTCGAAATTTTGAAATATTTAGCTATCTCACTCTAGGGATAGAATGGGCCCTCAGGACATAAAATAAATTTTGGAAAAAATATTTATAACTACAAAAATATATGTAGTAATATCGTCTATTTTTGTTGACTTGTCGTGGAATTAATCAAATATTTGTCAATTGAGATATTGTTATTACAATTTGGTTAATTTTTACATATATTTTAGACGAATGAGCTACAAATTATTTAATGCGACGTTTAATGTAATTTGTGAATATTTTTTTTTGAGATGCATAAATGTGTGATATTTTGCAATCCATTATTTTCATTTAACTTTTTTATTTTCTCTTTTTTTTAAAAAAAAACATAAAATAATATTTTTTTAATTTTCTTTAATCGTAATTTAGTCATAAATTTAAACTAGGGCCCACACTTTTTGGAGATTTTAATATTGTCATTACGGAATCGACGCTTAAGAGGGGAGACGAATGTTTAAAAGGCTAATTTTTAAAAACGAATAAATTATATGTTACTACATGTTATTATAAATTTTGGTATTGTACATAAATTTTTATTATTCCTTTTTGAAAGTTGATTTTTATATATATTAATTCTTTTATTGCTAATAAAAAATTCTTATGATTGATACAAAATAATTTGATTGAAAATAGGGTGATGGAGTAGTTTTTAATTTACCATTGTTATAAAAAGATATTTTAAAAACTTATACTATTTGGATACCAGCCACCATATATGTTAGCGTTATATTTGCTGCATACGAAAATTTATGGGTCTCTAGGTGTGCATAGTGGTTCTCTTTGTTGGAAAACGTTTATTACAACGCGATGGTAATAGAAATTAAATGCAATAAAAATTGTATGCAATTCGTTCTAGTAATTCTTGGGCCGATTTCTTAATAAGAGTGAAATTTTTTGATTTAAAACAGGGTTTGTTTCTAATTATATCTTTTTTTCTGAGAACCAATTTTGTTGGTTGCTTTTATTTAGTTTATGTAAATTGCTCAAAACTCGGAGTATTCATGTCTTAATTTTTAGTAGTTAGCAATGGCGATATTGACAAGCCCCTGTTTTTTTGTGTTTTTAAAATCAACGAGTATTAGAATTTGTTTAATACCTTAATATAGGTGATAATTTGGGGACATCTTTCTTTGAACTGAAATTTGACAATCATTTTTAATCGGTCATAATTTTTTTAGAGCGTTCCAAACAATATTCGTATGGATAGATGAAAAATCTTCGACAAATTTTCCTATTTTCAAATAATTTTGTTCAATGATATTTTACTAGTATCCTGTAAAATTAGGGTTTCTCAACCAGATTCGTGGTGCGACTTTATTACATTTTTTGAGGAATTTATTTCTGCTTTCTCAGATTCTGGCTAGGATCCGATCTCATTTCAAGAGCCATGGTTTGGACCGGTCTTTTATTGGTCTTAATATTCCATTCATATAATTTTTCCCCAAACTTTATGTATATTACTTATTTTGTGATTCTTTTTTAGTTCCTTTTTATTTTGCAACATACTAAAAAACGAAAATTTGTTCAAAAGCGCTTTTTTATAGTCTTAATAAGCAACTCAGAAAATATGTTCAATGCTTACCAAATTTAATGTATCGTGACTCACCAGCAACAAATAACTAAAAATGTTTTAATTTTGGTCTAAATAAAAACTATTAAGTTCTATAAATATTAAATTTTTATCATTCTCAAGATATATTATTTTATCAAATATTTTGTTTATTATATTATATTCAATAAAAGTATTTAGATTAACTTTTTTACTCTATTAAAAGTAAAAAATTTATATTAATAACTTAAAACATGTCAAGATGAACTTTGTAACTAGATAAGCTATCTGTCAATCACAGTAACAGATAATATACCATAGCTAAGTGGCTCGCGCGATATAAAATATATATTATAAGTTGTTATATATATTTAAAATACTTACCATATGCGGTGTAGTCAAGATGGGTTTTGGGTGGCCTTTTCACAAATAATTTTATTTTCGTTGGCAGCAGCGTCTACATGAGGATATTCATTGGAATTAAACTCCCGTCGAAAACTTATACGTATCTCCCATAAAAATTTCCTTTCCTTATTATTAAGTGCACGTTTTTAGTTATAATAGAACTCCCTTCATATATTTTAAAAGTAATAACTTAAACTATCAATACTCTACTACCTTCATTCTTTTTTTGTAAATGTAAAAGTTATTTTTCAGAACATAAATTTTAAATTTAAAACCCCCTTATTTACAACGAATGCATTTGTTTGGCATAAATATGAGGTTTGCTGATAAAGACGCCTTATAATTACATTTAAAAAGGTAGCAGAAAAATAATGACTATGATTGTATGTAATATGTAGATTTGGTCGATGTTCAGCAGTATCATTGTAATATAATAGATTTACAATAACATTAAATAATTTTTTATAACAATATATTTTGCCATATTTTATCTAAAATTTGAAGAGATAACCCCCCCCCCCCCCAATAAATTTATCCTGCCCCCCCCCCCCTTCCCCTTCATAAAAATTGGAAGCAAACTTCCTCTTCCACGCTCTTGTAGATGATGTTTGACGGGGTTCGATTTTTAAAAAATAATTTTTATTTAACGCCTTTTTTAAAAAAATTTTAAATATAATATATTTATTATCTTCGTTTTTTTAAAAATAATTATTGTAAATGCATATTATATTTATATAGAGATAAATTTTTTTTAATTAGTAATATTTACAAAAAATTTCAAATCTCCCAGCCTCTATTGGCTATGTTAATGATTTTGATTAGTATTTTTAGTAATAGGACAATTATATTACCCTTTAGTGAGTTTATTTCAATTTGTTTAAAAAATAACGTGAAATAGGAAGTTGTGATAAAATGTGAGAGACAAAAATGAGGTGTGAAATCGACAATAGGTCCGATCCAGATTTCCCATACCTAGGTGGAGCCAGGATTTTGCTTAGAAGGAAAGTGTGGTCACAGATAAATTTTTTCCCATAAATTTTATTGAATGTTTTAGGTCCTTGGCAATATAACAATAATTTTAGATTTTAACAGCTTTTTTCTAAAAATTTGGAAGCAATTATTTAAAAAGTTATAAACTTTTTTAAATTTTTTTTATCAAATTCTTGTTTGTACTGATACATTGTATAGTGTTGTTAAAACATCGACGACTCTGAACATAAGTTGGAGTAATAAAATACGACTTTACATTGAGTGGCTCTAAGAGCCGCCATTGGCCAGCTATTTATTCAAAAGGAAAATATTTAAAAAATATCAAATCTTAAAACCACATGGCTCATTGAGCTGCTCGAAGTGAGTTTAACGACTCATAACTTGAATAGAATTAAGGCAAAATCGTCTCGGCTTAGACAACTAACGACTTTAATACTGTATTGTTACAATAAGTATTTTATGTAAGATTTACTAAATTCTATATGACATTTTTTAAATAGTATTTTGATATAAATATTGAAAATACCATCATATTTTTTGAATAGCATAATTGTCTCAAAAACTATTTTAAAAATAAATCGTAGCCCTGGTATAGCAACATTCCTTTTTATCATTAAAATGAAATTCAATTACAATTAAATATGCAAACTAGGACTTTTGAAATACGTAAGCCTTAATTATTATCGTAATTTCAAATAAAGTTGATTTATACTTTGCATAGAATTTATGCGATTTTTCATCTAAATGTTTATAAATTTACTTTCAAAATCTTTGTATCAAGAAAATCAAATTTAAAAAAAATTAAGATATATTTTTATTATATAAACCTGCTAGATACCTACAATATGGACCTAAACCCTTAGCCCTATAATCTATGAGGAAACACCCCACTTATTATTTCCAATACTCCCTAAGCGAAATCCTGGTTACGACTATATGAATTCAAAATATTAATGGTAATTATCCAAATAATTACCAAACAGTAATATTTAAAATATTGGTATTCGCAATATATTCCCTATACATAATGACAGAACTATTTAATAGGTTCAGTATTGAGGGGAGGGGGGGGGGGGTAATGAACTTGATATGAAATATGACAATAAACATTTAAAATATCTTAGTACAAACACAACTATAAAATTACTGGATGGCATTATTTCGGTATTGATTTAAATAAGTTTTAAACGCATAGTTAATAAAACAAGTCTAATTTTTTTTAGTTAGATCTGACTTTTCATTAATGATAAATAACACGTGTTATATTAATATACATTTTATTTGTCAGTTATTGCAAGCCGTCCTTCATCACATTTTATAGTGGGCATGGTATTTTCAAATTAATTTTGCCCTTATGAACTTTAGTGCCATATATGAAACTATCAAAAATGCAAGGGAAAATGCACTGTGCAATTCTTATGAATCTTCTTTAATATATTATGAAGGCGCCATTAATCAAATATCCAAATTGTTTACCCATAACACATTATCAGGAAATCAAAAACAAAAATGGGAAGATGTAACAGATTATTATATATTTTATTATAAAATAAAATTCAGATGAAAGAATATCTAATTAAGGAATGCCAATATGTTCAAGAAATTCAAAATGAATTAAATAATTTTACTATTGGGAATTTCAGTAATTTAGATAATACATCTACACAAATAGTAAATGATCCTGATGTTTGGCCAGCTCCACCTCAATCAACATCCAATAATAATACAACTAATCAAAGACGGTAGCTTAATTTATTAAAATATTTGTTATCTCAATAATTTTAGAACACAAATTTTGCCTAAAAAGAAAATTATAGTAAATCAAAAAATTAACAAACCAATTGTTTCATCAAAAAATTTAAAAGTAAATATTTCAAATAAAGTGGATAATAAAAGCAAGAAAAATCCTAAAGTAATATTTTAGCATATGTTTATATTTAAATAAAATCCTTAATTAGGAATCAGCTTCAAATCTGGCAAATTTGTATAATAGTATAAACACAAATTTGCCTATAGACTCAAATTTGACTTCTATCTCAGGCAGTACTAATCATATATTAGAGAGAAAATTTGAGTGCTTTGGTTATGATACTGATTTAGTGGATATGATTACTAGGGATTTAGTTTCAAAAAACCCAAATGTCAAATGGTATTTTATAGTTGTTTTGCATATATTCTTTTATTTTTTAATTAGTGTTATATACATCTAATATACTATATTATATTTGTTTAATTTGATCACAATCATACAAATGATTGTACATTATTCATATTTATTTATTTGAATACATTATTTTAAATTAAAAAAAATAATTATATTAATCAAATTATGCTGTATAAAATTTATTCATTTAAATAATTTGAAACTAAAAAGAGTTTAAAAATTTTTTTGAAAATATATTATTCTTATATATTTAATGTATAATATTTAGCTAATAATTTATCACAAAATAATTTTTTTAATTGTAAATAATTATGACTATGAGATATTTTATTTATTGATTTATACTTTACGATATAAAATTCCTATTTTCAGTTAATATGCCATATGTCTCCTCTATATAACAGGTAAGAATAATAATGGAGTTGATATAGTTTTGTGAACACCAATATCTTCCTTTAAAGTTTGAAATGCTGTTAAAAATGACCCTGGTGTTCTGTATTCTAACTTTCAGTTCATCCTTGGAACTATATTTGTTAACTAAGGTTACCTAGTGAATTTGACTCACTAAATGCCTCTGATTCAATCAGTGGTGTAGGCAGTGGTTCAGCCAGAATTTTTTTGGTTTAAAAAAATTTTGGGGGACAAAGCCCCCAAAACCTCACATTTTTCATGTACACTCAATATCAGTGGCGTTGCTAGGGGGAGGCACGCAGGGGCTTGAGCATCCTGAAAAATTTGAATAGCCCCCTGAAGCAAAAATTTTTTTTAATGGCTCCTTAATATCCCCTTGAACTAAAAATAAATTATTTTGATTTCCCACTGAATTATTTCTTTTATAATTCTATTGAGTAATATATAGATTAAATTTTATAATTTAAAAATTAATGAGTCTATCTAAATTATTCTTAAATGAATACTATTTTAATTATTAGATTAGATTAATACTTATAAATTATATTTTCACTATGCCAGCTTGCAATCAAATTCTATGTTAAAAATAGAATATTAATATCACTCACTAAATATTAATTTAGCATTAACAGTTGAAGCTTTATTGACTTTTATTATTTAAATTATTATATAACCCTAATTAAATAAATATTAATTGAAAATTAACAAATTTAATATTGTAATTAGCCGAGTTCAAAATAACTAATCAACTATAATTGATATTTAAATTTAATTACCATACCTCTTCTTAAAATAATTTTCAAGGTCCAAATCCAAATAAGTATAAAAGATTTATTTATAAAAAATAAGTAAACATATAGTTTATAATTATTAGATATAATTGGTTATAAAAGATTAGGTTAAATACCACTTTTACAGTTTGACAGTTATATAATATATTACAGTTAATATTTTAATAAATTTTACTAATAAATGCTTTTGATAATAAATATAAGTAATAAATTGCTTTTAAATATTTAACGCCATCTATTTATTTGAAATATTTTAAAAATTTAACAACTTATTATTCATCCCACAAAGGATGTAAATTAGATATATTTTTTTACACATTTTTAGGAAAGCTATTTTTTTCTACTTTGAAAAACAGTTTTGAGTTAAATTTTTAATACTAGTATAGTTTTGTTATTTTTACAAACTACTACTATTTTAAAATATAATATACCAACTAGAGGTGGTGCGACAATAATAAAATCTTAATTAATTTCTTTTATCATATCATATCATTCTTGTTTGTATTTTATAGTTACAAAATGTTTCATTTCTAATATGGCATCCCTGCCTTGTAAATAACTTAAGGCTTCAATACATTAGCATGATTTCTTCTAAAGATTTTTAGTGTTTTTGTTTTATAATTTATCTTGCATAATAAATTCTGATATAAGTTAATATAGTGAGTGTCATGGCTATGACTGCATATTAATCACCATTTATTATTTGTGTGGCTATGTAATTTAAGAATATTATTACAGCTGCTGAGAGCATATGATTGCATATTTTATAAGCAATAATGGTCAACTGTGTAGTATTTATATATCATTAAAAATGGAAGATAATCTTTTAGAAATTTAATATCTCACAATTTTTTTCTCAAATACTTATCTAACTTCCATCATCTCATTTAAGAGGAAGTTTATACCACTATATAGTTTTATGATTTGGATTGGTCGTTTATATTCTCTTCTCCAAGAATTGTTGATTTGGTTAGGCCTATAAATTTTTAATTATTAGTCCATTCTATAAAACATTGTCTAAAAATGGTAACAGAGTGTTATATTAGTTTCTTGACCTTTTGTCAATGTTAGTTGCTAATTTTATAATATGTAGTTTTTAAAAACCATTATCAATTGAGGTATATGTATGAATTAATTAACCATTTTTATCACTTGTAATTCTTTAGATGCAAAATTTATATCAGCAATCGAAAATATTTTATACTGTAATAAATAGATTTTGTATTATAATATTTTTAGTGTCTTATTTTAATTATTTATATGCTAGTTTATTTTGTATGCATAATATAATAAATGACAAAATATGAAATTCAGAATAATTAGAGTGTGCAAATTTTTAAAAAGTATAATATATTAATATAAAACCCAGCCGAAGGCCAGGCAAAACCCGCAAATGGGGAGTATGGAGGGCGAAGCCTCCCATAAATTTTTTTTAGTTGAACCCCCTGAGATTGTAAAGGCTAGCGACGCCCCTGCTCAATATATCTTAGGTTATGTAATTATTTTGAAAAATTCTTTAGCATAAATAACATTCCTTTATTCATGTATTTATTTTTATTATTAAAAATAAATTTCAAAATATATATATTTTATACAGACTATAATATTAAAAATTTTATTGTATAAAAATTCCATAAAATTTAAGTTATTCTTATGCAAATAATGGCATTTAAAAAAATATGACGATAATATCAAAATATAATTAATATACAGTACTTTGATTAAAAATAGTAGTGATTGTATAAATTTTAAGAGTTAGTACAAAAATTATATAAATGTTATAACTAAGAATTCATTATAAGAAAAAATTTGATTATAAATATTATATATCATCATATTGCAATTTTTTGATTTGAATTTATAAAGAGAGGTCTACTTTTCTGTGTGATTTTCCTAATTCATCTAGAATCAAATTTTTATCTCAAATTATTTCCTTATAAATATTTAATAGGTCTAATCCATTTGAACATTTTTCACAGTTGCTATTTCTTAAACAAGTCTTTTACCTTTTTAAAGTTGAAAAAGACCTTTCATTAGTGCAGGTACTAATTGGTAAGGTAGCTAAAATAAGTAATAAGGATTTAATAGTAGGCAGGGAATCTAAAATGCAATTACACATGGAAAGGGCCTGCAGAGCATTTTTTGGTCTCAAAGAATACCCTATTCTATCAAGATTTTTATACCAAAATTCGACATCACAAAGTAACTTATCATATGAACCTACTAAATCATCAGCATAAAACTAAGATTTTTTTAATATCCTCTCGTGTTTCAAGTGTAATCAACAGTTTAGACTCAACCGGCAAAAGAAAATAAAAGCTTTTTAAAATATAATTATGACTAATAATCTTTCTTTTAATTGAAATAAAAATGTATCAATAAGGGGAATAAAAATGTTTATTTTATAAAAACCCTCAATCGTAGATGCATCAATATCGATTGGATTGTCTAGAGACTACTCTAGGTTTAAAAATTTTAATTCCAAACATATTAGCAATCTCCTTTACTTTTTCATATATTTCATGAAATTTTTCATCCACATTCTCTCTGATATTTGTTAATATTCCAACAATATCCTTTGCTCTATTCATAAACTCTCTTAAATCCAAATCAATTTTTTGTAGCATTTTGCTAAAATCATATGTATAATTAAATAAAAAATAAACGCAATGAATTGAAATTAAAAATTGCTGCTTCGTAATAGTCTGCAAAAGATTTTTAGCATCTATGGAATCTTTTTCTTTGCTTGATATGTAGGATTCGAGTGCTGCAAAAATAACTTCATATAATTCGATGAAAAGTCTCATTGGCTGTTGTCTTTCAATAACTAGTTGGACAAAATCTTTTTAGTTTTTTTCTGATTATTTGAATCAATATCATCAAACATTCAGATAAAAAGCTGCCTCTTCTTGTGTGGTGAAAAAAAGTCACAAACCGACGATATTGTTCTAAATTTTGAAAAATATATTAGAATTATAAAAAGATGTCTATAATACATAATAAAATCTAATTAATTCCAATTAAATTAAAATATTTTTACGTAAATTATTCCGGATGTCTCGAATTTCGCATGCCTCAGATATCAACAAATTTAGGCATTGTGAACTATAGTGAACATATACTGTGCTATAAATCTCTCTAATTCTTGACTACACCCCTTTAACGTGACCACTCATCGAGGGAGCTTCATCATATCCTTGGCCTCTCATTAGATTTAAATTTAAATCTAGGTTTTGAAGTAAATTGTTTCTGAGTAAGGAAATATTTTTATATCACATAATTTAATCACCAATATATCTACCCATCATGAATTTACAAGATGCTTTTTATTTTGTTACTTATATTTATTGAAGTTATATTTTTTATTTTTTGAAATCTTTATATTTCTCCCACAGAATTTATATTTCCTACCCTGCAAATTATTAGTATGACCTGGCAAATTGTTTATCAATTTTTTAAACAAACTCATAATAAGATTGTATTTTTGATTAGTGCTCTGAGATAAATGGGTTTATTATAGTACAAAGTTCATATTGAAAGCTTTAAATTTTATATTTAAAAAATTATAGACAGCCTTTGTCAAAAAGATGTTGCAACCTATGTACACCACAATTTCCATAATGGCAATGAAAAATTAATGTGTATTAAATTGTGAGCCTGGGAATAATTATAAATTTCCAGTGTCATTAAATATGAGAAATTTGACATTTCAATTATCATGGCTAAAAAAATATAAGTGGCTTGCCTACTCAGCAATAAAGCAAAGGGCTTTTTGTAAGGTGTGTGTCATTATCTCACCAAGATATGCTGGGAAAAGGTTAAAAGGCTTAAAACATTGGTAAGTACCAAGTATACCAGGTGGAAAGATGCCTTATAAAATTTTAATTTTTATCAACAGAACAAATATTTAAATTCATGTGAAATATTTGACAATTTTAAAGCAATATCAAATTGTAAAAAAATATCAATATCCAAAGTTTTGGACGAACAAAAATTTAAACAAGTTACAAATAATAGAAAAAGGATAATGATAATTATTGATGCTATTATTTGGCTAGGGAGGCAAGGCTTAGCATTAAGAGCCCATAGAATACCTACTAGCCCCTTAACACTTACTCTTCTCATAATGAAGGGAATTTCAAGGAATTGTTGAAACCTTTATGCAATAAAATCTTAATTATATAAAGCTTTTTGAAAGCTCTGCTAAAAATGCCACCTACCTTAGTCCAAGTATTCAAAATGAAATAATAGCCATATGCAATAGGTTCATATTGAAAGAAATTTCTACAAAAGTGAAAGCTCACCATTTTTTATTGTTTTAGCGAATGAGACTTCAGATGTTGGTAACATAGAGCAATTATCATAGCAGTAAGGTTTATTGATATGGAATCAGATGATTTCAAAATGAAGGAAATCTTTGTTCAATTTATTGACTTACATGACACTAAATCAGAGACGATAGCCAAAGAAATTTAGCATTCCTTCAAGACCTAAATTTAAATCGAATGAGAGGCCAAGGATATGATGGAGCTCTCTCGATGAGTGGTCACATTAAAGAGGTGCATTCAAGAATTAGAGAGCTTTATAGCACAGCTCTATATGTTCACTGTAGTTCACATTGCCTAAATTTGATGATATCTGAGGCATGCAAAATTCGAGACATCTAGAACAGTTTACGTAAAAATATTTTTATTTAATTGGAATTTATTAGATTTTATTATGTATTATAGATATCTTTTTATAATTCTAATATATTTTTCAAAATTTAGAACAATTCGGTTTGTGACTTTTTTACACACAAGAAGAGGCAATTTTTATCCGAACGTTTGATAATATTGATTCAAATAATCAAAAAAAACTAAAAAGATTTTGTCCAACTAGTTATTGAAAGACAACAGTCAGTGAGACTTTTCATCTAATTATATGAAGTTATTTTTGCAGTACTCGAATCCTACATATCAAGCAGAAAAAGATTCCACAGATGCTGAAAATCTTTTGCAGGCTATTACGAAATTTTTAATATCAATTCATTGCGTTTATTTTTTATTTAATTATACATATGATTTTAGCAAAATGCTACAAAAAATTGATTTGGATTGAGAGTTTATGTTGATAAAAAATTTAATGAAATATATGAGAACGTAAAGGAGAATGCAAATATGTTTGGGATTGAAATTTTTAAACCTAGAGTAGTTTCTAGACAATCCAATCGCTCAAATATTAATGCATCTACTATTGAGGATTTTTATAAAATAAACATTTTTATTCCCCTTATTGATACATTTTTATTTCAATTATAGGAAAGATTTATTTGTCATAATTTTATTTTAAAAAGCTTTTATTTTCTTTTGCCGGTTAAGTCTAAACTGTTGATTACACTTGAAACAAGAGAGGATATTAAGAAAATTTCAAAGTTTTACACTGATGATTTAGTAGGCTCATATGATAAGTTACATTGTGATTCCAATTTTGGTATAAAAATCTTGGCAGAATAGAGTATTCTTTATGACCAAAAAATGCTCTGCAGACCCTTTCCATGTGTAATTGCACTTTAGATTCCCTGCCTAATATAAATCATTATTACTTATTTTAGCTACCTTACCAATTATTAATCCCCCTCCCCAACCTCCTGGCTATGCACCTGAATTTAAATAAGCTGAATTAAATAATTTTTTTATTCTTACAAATTTACATATTTATTACTATTCATCTCTCATTGTGATTTTGATATCTTATTTTTTTATCGATTAATTTTTTACTTTAAAATAATAAAGGGGAGATATAGCAGGATTGGAAGAAGCCAAACGTTTATTAGAAGAAGCTGTAGTTTTACCCTTGTGGATGCCTGGGTTTTTTACTGGTATACGTAGGCCATGGAAAGGTGTCCTCATGGTATGCTAAAAAAATTTAATTATAAAGAAAGAAAAATTCTATAACTTTTAATTTGAATTTCTTGGGGAGTCTTCCATACATTGTCAAGAGATTAGTTTTTAAGACAATTTCTAAATTTGATTGGGATATGTAATCAATTGGGATTCGAAATATCTAAATTTTAAAAAATGTGATTTGACAAGAAATGCATGCCAGCATGGGTAGAATATACCTACCATATAAATTCCAAAAATTATCGCCTTAAATTTGTATTTTTTTTATAAAATTATATAAAAGTTGAATATAAATTTAAAATATTTTTTAAAAATTCTAAGCAAAATTGTATGACACAGTTGGATGCTCTTTACATATCGGAATGTGCATTTCTTGTCAGATTTTTGAAGTTTAGTAATATCCCTCAGTAAATGATAAATTTAGATATTATGAATCCTTATAGATTTCCATATTTCAATACGACATATATACAAACAAAATTTTGTTTTAAAATGCATATTTTTTATGCATTAAAGGTAGGTCCTCCAGGCACCGGCAAAACATTGTTAGCAAAGGCAGTGGCCACTGAATGTGGAACTACCTTCTTTTCCATCTCTTCCTCCACTCTCACCTCTAAGTATAGAGGCGATTCCGAAAAATTAGTCAGATTACTCTTCGAAATGGTAACAGAAATCACTAGCTTTAATATTTAAATGCTTAGTTAATTTAACCTTAAGATCGAAAGCTCTATAATCAAGATGACAATAGTAAGAACACGAAGTTCGTATTTTTGAAAAAAAATGATCAACGAAGTTCCTTTTATTTTTGACGAACTTTGAACCTGAACGCGTTCGTTTTTTACGTTCGTTCAATTTTTGGAAAATCTTATTTTTATTAATTTTATATATTAAAAATTAATAAGAAATTTTTTTTACGATTTTTAAAACGGCTACAATATTTCAGCCAGAAAAATATTGTTTAAGCCTCTAGATTTCGCCAATAGATGTCTGAACCTTTGCGCCTGCATAATATTTTTTTAATAAAATATTAAGTTAGCCGTTTTTAAAAATCGACAAAACTAGTAAGTAATAATAAAATATGTTATTTTTCGTTTATTCTCGTTTTTTAGTTATGTTTTTTTTCTTTATTTATTTTTGAAAAAAAAATAATGGAAAATTTCGGAAATGTTTCATAATTTTATTATTTTGCCAGAATTTATAAATTTTCAAAACATTTTGGGCACAGCTTAATAAAAAAAGTTTTTATTGTCTTAAAACTTCTAATTTTAAACATGGCTAATATATTGTTATAAAAAATATGACATATATTTATATTAAATTTAAAAAAAAAATGTATTCGGAAAGTTTTGAACGAACGTGAACGCGTTCCTCATTTTGAAGTTGTACGTGATCGCGTTCGATTTTTACCAATGAACTTTGCAGCACTAATAAGAACCAACCTTATTTTTTTAAAAAAATCTCAATTTTAGACTATATAGAAAATTAGATTCTTTTTTTCAATTAAATTTATTTTGTATCTGAATTTGAACTGAAATAATGGTATATCAAACAGAAAGTTGATATTTTTTTAAAAAAAAATTACTTTAAAATTTTTTTGTTAGGAGTTTTGGAAAGGCTAGCATAATGGTATTTTATAAGTTATCAGTATAAAATAAATTCTATTTATATAAAAAAATTACATTTATTTACATTATCACCTGGTTTATAGTCATCTCAGTACTTGATCTTGTATTTGCTTGAATAATTGCATTATTTACATTTTCAATTTATTTTTTAATAAAAGTCATATTTTATCATAAATGATATGATGGTTATGTTATATGATTTATATTCCAACGATCCAATTAATAAAATTAATAACGAAAACACTTTTTTTAAAAGCATACATAGGTGGTTATACAATTTAGTCCATTTCTTTGTGATTAATTTTTTATATTTAAAAAATTATAATAAAAATTAAAGGCAAGATTTTACGCGCCATCTACAATTTTCATTGACGAAATTGATTCGGTTTGTTCCAGAAGGGGAACTGATACCGAACACGAAGCTAGCAGAAGGGTAAAATCCGAGATACTCGTTCAAATGGATGGTATAATTGATGAACAAGAGATTTTTTTTAAATTTAACTATCAAAGGAAGTAAAAAAATAAACTAGAAACGAATTAAGGAATAACTTATACAAATATTTCATTTTTAAAATTTTTTTTACCTACGTTTTTTCCAAATAAAATTTAAGGTTTATCCGTTCCATCAGACACATCTGATACAACTTCCTCTTCGTCTACAGTTGAAAAATTGTCTCCAAACGATAACACCCTGACATCCAACACTATTGACACAGGTTTACTTATCTTTAAAACCTTTTTAATAATAATGAAAACAAATTATATTATTTTTTTACTTTGGGTTATTGATGTATAATGTTGAACTTTATTGAATTTTATGTATTTAATTAAATATTTATTAGAAATCAGCATAGACTCTAACCCCCCCCCCCTCTTCGCTGGAAATGTTATAAATGTTTTTTTGAACCAGCCCATTAAATAATTATTTATAAATTTAGTCCATAATAATTTTTTATGAAGAAGAAAACACATAAACTACCTAATTCTAACCATGAAAAAAATTGCGAAATACAGTCCATGCCATAAAAATATTTTGCGCAAGTTGTCCATCTGCCAGGAAATATTTTTACCCAACCCGTGGGCCAGATTTCGGGATTATGTCATGCTTATATCTACTATATATTACTATATGATATATGTATTTGATTAATTAATCATTATGTATTAAAAAATGCAATTAAATAATCAACCTATAAATGAAATAACAACAAAAAAATGACTCGTTCGTAAAAAAAATTATGAAGATGTTCTAGGTGATAAGAAGTATTCAATCTAATTTTTTTCGAAAAAGGACAAAATGTTAATTCCTCACTTCATTTTAAAAATTTATTCCTAAAATATAATATTACCGGCCCCTGCTCTTGTTTAATTGTTTTTAGCATAGAAATATCTTTATTAAGCACTTATCGAAAAATATTCGATTCTAGACATTAAAATTGAATACAAATAATTTTAAAATAACGAAATTTTTAAAAATTTGGGTCATGCTATATATAATATTGTAAAAATTTAAAAATCTTATTTTTCCAGAATGACCAATTCGATTTACTATTTTTTAAAACAACATTAAAAGTGGAGATGGGAAATCGCTCGATTTGAGTCAATTTTTAAAAACAATTAACTCAGTATTTTATCCAGAAAAATATTACGCAAGCCTGAAGATTTTGCTCTTCGATGGCACAAAGGTTTGGACATCTAGCAGCGAAATTTTGAGGCTTATGTTTTCTGGCTAAAATATTGAGTTCGCCTGTTCTAAAAATTTGCTTACATGGAGCCATTTTGCTTTACTAATAAGCGCTATAATAAAATTTAAAAAATCGTTTTTTTATTATAAGAAAATCGACAAAAGCAACAAAATAATTTAAAATTGCCAAAGTCTGACCTGGCCCGAACAAATTTTCTTTCTTGAAAAATAAAGAAAGATATATAATTTTTTTTTTTAAATAAATTAAGTTCCACCTCAACTTAGTCCTAGAAAATGCATGTTCGATTGATCTGAGTTTTGTTAGAACTCGGACATACTCGTTCAGGTCTTGCTTAGTCCGTTAGTAATGAATAATGATTATTATAAATATCACCTTCCACGATAAAATATGGAGTTTATATTTTTTTTAAATTAAATTTTTTAACAATATTAAATAGCAAACGAAAATCCCAAATTAGTAATGGTTTTAGCCGCCACCAATTTCCCTTGGGATCTCGATGAAGCTCTCAGAAGAAGGCTAGAAAAAAGAATTTATATTCCTCTACCTGATGGTTTTCTAAATATAATTTTAGATTTTTTTAATTTGATGCTTACATTATAATTAAATCATTCAATTTATTATGTTAAAAACTATATTTTTCCTCAGCTAGAACACTGTATTTTGATTGGCGTGTTAGAATATATCAATAGAGATTATATGGTTATTTGATACGTATTACACCTTTTAATGATGTGTCATTTTCTTTCTAAGCCTTTTAAGGATGTTAGACTCTAGGCAAATACAGTTAGCATAGGTCTACAGAACAGAAATACTACGTATAATGCATTGTTCGATTCAAAAAATTTATTGTTTTTACGAATCGAATTATTTACTATTAGTATAATAATTATTATTTTCGATACATCAAATATTCAATTTAAATAATTAAATGTTTTCAAAAGCGAAAAAATGGATAATAATAATTTTGTATATGAATCTAATAAAAGTTCGTTTATAATAAACAAATGAAAATTTAAAAATTTTTTTACAACATAATTACAATCATTTTGAAAATTGTTAAAATTGGAAAAAAAAATTTATAAATATAAATGCATTAATAAGAAATCTATATTTAACATCCAGTTCTTTATGCAAAAAACTTCAACATTGTTTGTTTGTATTAAAATAATATAAAACAAATCTATTAAATCTTCCACCCTTTTTTTAATCTTTTATTTTTTTAAAAAAATTCTAAATTTACGAATAATTTTGAATTATTTAATCGAATGATAAATATTCTATATTCTTCAAATAATTTTTTTTTCTGCTAGGAAAATTCAAAAATTAACAAATAATTTGGAATTATCTGATCAATCAATAAATTCTATTATTCGTCTAATATTAAAATAATTTGTTATTTGTTTTCATAAAATTCAATTCGAATATGAATAACGAATAATTGGCTTTTAAGTCAACTTTTAGCATATCAAGCACTCTCATTAAATAAAACACTTTTACAAATCTTTAAAAAAAAATTTCTTTCTACTCTTAGAGCCAGCTAGGGAAGAATTGCTCAAGATAAATCTCAAAGAAGTGGAACTAGCTGAAGACGTAGACTTATCTCGTATCGCCAAAAAGCTTGAGGGGTATTCTGGCTCTGATATAACTAACGTTTGTAGGTTTCACTTTCTTTATTCAAATTTATTTTAATTCACTGAAGTGGAGAAGGGGGGGGGGATTGTTAGACTTAATTAAGAACGAGATCAAGGAGTAAACACAACAAATATTTTTAAAAAACGTTTTTAAGTTTATTTAGTAAATAGTAATCGAAATTAGAGGCCCGCAATGCTTTGTCGGGTAACAAAAAATTATTGGGCTGGAATATTAATAAATTCTGATATCTGATAGAAATGGTAATCTATAATGTGTAGTGTTTTAAATTTAACCACTCCAAAATTATAAATAATTGTTTATTTTGGTGTTCAACTACATTGGCAGCCGGACAAAATCTAAATTTCAATTGGGCTGGACCTGAAAATTTTGCCATTTAAAGACCTCTATTAGAAATGACTGGCATAGGGTGAAATTTGTTGTATGCAAGGCAAGGGTAGATACTGAAGTGGAAAAAAAAATTAATATTAAATTTATCTTATGTATCAGGGATGCCTCCATGATGTCGATGAGACGAGCTATAGCTGGTCTATCACCGGATGAGATAAAAAGTTTGGATAAAGAGCAACTCTCCAACATGCCTACTTCAATGAACGACTTCGAATTAGCTATTCGCAAGGTTTCTAGATCTGTCTCGCGCGCTGATCTCAAAAAATACGAGGACTGGATGAAGGAATTCGGATCAATTTAGATTCTCCATCCTCTAATCTTTCAACATCTCCACTTTCCCCTATCCTTGTATTTCTTCCCCTTCTTTCCCTCATGTCATCCTTTTCACTCCTATTCTCATATTTATTCCTGTTTAAATATCAGTAAATCACGAGCTTTTATTAGAAATTATAATTATATCAATATTATTTAGTCGAGGGAAAGGGGGGGGGGGGTGATATCGCTTATTAAATTTTTTTCAAATATCAATATTACCTTTTAAATATTATGAATTAGTAATTATATATTCTACAAGTTTAAAGATCGGTCTCTTGTAAGGTCAGCCTGGAGATACTGGAAATGATGGTTCAAAAATTTAGATCAAAACATAAATATTTTTCCAAAAATACATACCAAATTTTTACCATTTATTCAAATATTTTTTTTTTCCGTTAAAAAAATATATATCTCATCCATTTTTTTTATTCTATTACTAATTTTTTTATACTAGTAAAGTAGCATAATTTTTTTTTAAAATTAAATTAATATTTTATGGGGACAAGTTTTTTTTAAATTCGAGTCTCAAGATATCTTATCATTTGCAATTGTAATTCAGTTTTAAAAAATAATATTGGCAATTTTTTTTACTAACTATGCATTTAATACAAATTGCTCGATACAACTCGTATAAATATTTTATATGAATTCTTTATAATATTATAGAATCGTAATTAATTTTTCTAATATTATGTATTTTATGTGAAATGGTAACAATTACATATTTCTACTATTTTTATGCATTCCTTATTAAAAATAAGTATTTAAAAAAAATTACACAAGTTTTATGTTATGATCTTTAATCAATTGTATGATGTTTTCGGGTTATAAATAAACGCATAATATTTTATAGAAATTTCTGAACTTATTTTTAAAACATAAATATAATTTATATATTAATTACTTTTTTTTTCAAAGATCTTTTAAATATTTTTTGTTAATCCTCTTGATATTTTTAGTACCCTAGTTCTATGTCATTGACAGTTTAACAATCCAAATAAAAATGGGGCACCATATTTATACATAATTGCATGAAGTACATAGTATTAATGTGAATATGAAATAATGTCTTAGCCCCATTTAATTTAAGAATATTTATATAAATTAACATAATAGAGCTTATTTCGATATTATTATAACCAGCAGATGGCGTTATTTATTAATTATTTTAATAAGAAGTGTTTTTTAAAGACTGGGGGCTCTCCAAAATTTTCAGAAAGCTTAAATCTCGTAAAACACTTAGTCTCAGTTCACACGAGAGAGCAGTAAAAAGTGAAAGTCACTCATGGGTTGGGTTGTAACGTTAATATTAGCATAATTTATATTAAGGTTTTCTTTATATAACTATCAGTGTGAGATCATTGACTGACCATTTAGGGTTTCTAACTATTTTTTTAATTTAGTCTAGGATTTCGCAAAAGGAGGATTTGCCTCACCCTATTTGATAGACCTTTTTTCCCGCCCCTTCATTGGGTTATTTTTTTAAATATGTTAACTTTTTTTACACTAGTTAGTTTTTAGCAGGGATGTGAACCCTTGTATTTTTGCTGAGTCTGAACCCTTTTTAAAATTGAAAGGTTCCAGGTGTCCAAATTTTTTTTTTTTTAAATTTTCATGTTTTTTTTTCTTCGTCTTTCCAAAATTTTTTGTAATTTATTTACAAGATTGTGCGATTAAATTAAACTTAAATTATAGATTCGTTATTTACTTGAAAATTATATATGTATTTATATGGAGTATTAAAAAAAATGGTGTTATTTTGAGCCAATATTTCTTTATGTTCTCCAAACCCGGACCCTAGACCCAAACCCTTTTTTAAGATTTTATTCCTGAACCCTGACCCTTTTTTGTCGAAGGGTTCACATCCATGATTTTAAGGCTATGTCCCCGTCTTAATTTTTGTTCTTAGTAAATAATGGATAAGCTACTGGGATACCTTTGTTGGTTTATTTTTTTAAATAGACTGACTTTGATGGGGATGTAATATACCCCTAATTAAAGTTTCATTTATTCTTATTTTCATTCTTTTCAGACAGCTATTAGAAATTCTAAAAACAAACTTATTTTAAAAAATTATTATTTGTAATTGTTTATTTTTATAGACTTTAAATTGAAACATTGCATATTTTACGTTATATTCCCATCCCTTAATATTAAATATTCAGTGATCGTGTTTTATAACATTCTGGAATCATTCCGAAGCATTTTAAAAAATCAGCTATTTTTTTACTTCTCACACCCTCTATGCCAATTTGGTCTGGTCCCTAAATCTCGACGGTGTGAGATATAGAGATGTTCATCGAATAATTAAATTTCTGGTTCACCATAACTTGAGCAATTAACTATAAAATTTATGCCTTGCAAACAGAAATATTTCTAGAATCGACGGTAGAAAGTTCTTTCTACCTTATGTTGCGCGACATGAATTTTAATTTTGAAAAAACCTGCGCTTGTTCCTCATTATTAATAATTAGAATCCAGAAAGAGGCTTACCTTTACATTTGTCAGCTCATCCGTGTTTATAATTTATTCTTCCTGACTGATTAAATAGGAAAATTACGTGGGAAATTAATAAATCCAAACCAAGAAATTGATTTGTATAGAGGATAACATTTTATAATAAATAAGTGATTATAAGGCGTGAGTTATACTTATGTGAATCCTCGTTGTAAAAAAAAATTTTTTTATTTTTTTTCCATCCTGTGAGTAAGTCTGTTAAAAAAACTTAAACTTAACTCTAAAGTATTTAAGTCTAGTTTACGGAGATTGTCATTACAACGGCTGATGTATTTAAATTCCTATTGGCTTACTTATAATTTGACAGGTTATTTAATAAAAAATGATTAAAAACCATTTTAATCCCTAACTCATATCTCTCAAACCTTTAAATCATATTTTTTTTACTTCAGTTATCTTAGTTTTATATATTTCATCCAATTGAAATATTTGTTTCAGGCGAACATTCTTGAGTTGAGCAAATCCTATACAGTATACCAGATTATTATACTATACAAAATCATCGGTTTGGTTTTTTTCTGCACATTTATATATTTATAATATAAGTTTAACCCTTTTGGCAATCTCGGCCCTGAAAATTCTTTTAAGAATCGAGCTTAATGGTCAGAAAAGATCAATTTTAAGTTCCTCTAATGTTTCTATTTCCTAAAATCTGAAAAACAAATCCATAGTGTAATTTAAAAATTGTAAGTATTCATATAAAATATGGTTGAATATTGGAATCATATAATATTTTTATTAATTTAATGAAATTGATAACTTATAAGATTTTAATTGTAGATAGAGAGTAACGGCCCTTTTAAGTTAAAGTTCCTTATTTTTTTTTAAATAAAAAATAGAATCATTGCAACTTATTTTCCGTGAGGGCACTTTTTTTTATTAAAAGGTTTTTTTTAAATATTTAATTTTTTGATAAAATTAGGAAAAACTTCAAGTATAGGGTATCTAAGAGAGGTATAATTAGGCATTGCATCCCGTGTTTGAACTTAGATTGTAGAGTATACATTTCTCCTGATTGGCTTAACAAGTATAGTCAACTTTTTAAAGTCTTTAAATAATCTTTGAAAGTGAAAAGGATATGATTATTTCATAATATATATTATTAAATAAATGATGATATAATAATAATAGTATTGGCTGTTAGCATATAGCAATTTTTCTAAACAACGTCAAAATTTTGTTAAACCTATATATGCATTAACCCCAATTCCATATCTGGCGACTAGTCCAAGAGATAGGTTTCGCACTTGTCCCGCCTGAAATCGAAAAGGTATCTAACATTCTTAACCATGGCTGCCATTCAAAAATTGATTTAATTTAAGAGACGCAGGCCCTGCAAATTTTTTTCAAATCCGAACAAGGCCTTAGATATCGGTTTCTGACTTTTTTATATATGAGGAAAATTTAGTACGTTGTCTAATATTTTTATCAAAAGAAAAACACACTTAAAAAGATCAATGTCCAACGCATAATATCATTATTATCCCTATGCCAAAGCGGGTATAAAATTTTTATTCTTTTAAAAATATTTAACATATGTCCATTTACCTAATTTGAGAAAAATGCAAATATTAGTTTTTGTATCAAGAAATATTTTGTATAACAACAAAAAATTAAAGCGGAAAGAAGTCTAGATAAAAATTAAATTTCATAAATAATTTATATTGTTTACAAAAATATAATAATTTTAATATACTTTAAAATATTTTTTTAATATTGATGAGTTTTTTTCTCATTATTTTTCTAATTTGAAAAGATACTTTTTTTTAATACAACGGAGAACGGAAGTTTTGTTATAAATTAACCTCGTATTTATTTAATAACCTTTATATAAATTTCTTTGAATATTTATTTTATAATTAAATTTATGTAATCTCCTTTCAAATACATTCGATTTTCAATACAGTGGCTGGCTATTATATATAAACGAAAAAAAAGATTAGAATTTACATTTATTAACCATGGCCACTCATATTTTTAATATTATATTATATCTTTTTTTTTAATGTATATCTTTGATTGATCTAGATATGTATATCCGTTTTTTTAAAGAGGATGTTAAGGAAATTTCTTAAAGCCTATTCTTAATTTTTTTTGTTTCTTTTAAGTTCACAAGTTTTACCCCTTTATAATCTATGTTTTAGGGAAATTGTAAAGTGCAATTTTTATAAGGGTCTTGTAAATTAGCTTCTTGATGCCTTATATAAACTTTTAATAAAAAATTAAGAAAACTATTATAAAACATATATCAGCCTCTTGGCCCTCTAAAAAAATCCTGACAATATGGAAATGTAATAATTATTGAGACACAATAAAAAATAAATAAATTATTTTTAAAAAATTCTAAAGTAGCGTAAAAAGTAGCTAAAAATAGCGCGTTATTTTAAAAACGGTAGCGGTAGCGCGCTACTATGTTTGTAAAATAGCTGTAGCAGTAGCTGCTATTTTTAAAATTAGCTTTTAACAACACTTCTATAGCTATATACTAAATTTTTTAATTTATAATTGTTTCACAAATATATATTATATAATTTAATAAAAGTAAATCGATAATATGACGGTACAGGGGGGCGTTTTATTTATGATCAACCTATAGAGAATGAATTTCAAAAGCTTTATGTAGAAATGGAATGATTAAATAAAACTTATAAATAATGTGTTAATATGGAATATCATATATGTATTATAATTTTATATGAGATCGAATTTAAGTTTAGATCCAGGCAAGCTCATTTTATAGGGTGTATAATGGATAATTATTTATAATAAATAACTCTTTTTGAGACCAAAAATATTGCTTACAAATTAGTGATGATGATAGCCTTAAAAGCCAGCCAATAAACTAAATTACGATGATTCCAAATATTAAAAAGAATTTCTCATGAACATTTTACACAGAACTTGTAATGTATAAGATTATCACAAAATGATTGACTAAAAGTATAAAAGTTCTATACTATATTGGAAAAAAAAGATAAATAAAAAAGGTTTTATTTTATTACACTAAAATACTTTAGAATGTAGTTAGTCTTCCCAATAACTCTTTTATCTAATAAAAACACTGCGAAATTAAATAATTATAAATTTGTGATCTAAAAATAATA